GATAGAGGTCAAAATTTCGGGAGACTCACCGTTTTATGGATAGACTTGAAATTATCTTGAAATCTGAACATATTGATCATAGTATATTAAAGAGTTAAATTTGAAGTCGCTCATTGATTTGATCTTCTTTGCTTGAACTAATTCTAACCAGAGGAGCCTACAAGGGGAAAACGTGCATGACCCCAGGTTAATAAAAATCGGCCATAGATAGTCCGAAGATGCAACCACAATACTCTCAGCAGATTTGTCATTTCCTTGAGGAACAAGTGCTCTTTCTTTTCACCCAAGGGATTAGGAAGTAAATTTCGGGAGGTATCACATCCGGTTCTCGGCGGTGAGACTTTCAAAATATGCGCTACTTACTGAAGGTGCCCAAAAACAAGCAAAACCAATATCAAGCCGGAAGTAACATATTCCTCCCGGAAGTTCGGCCATTCTTTGTTTACTTCCGCACACCCTCCAGAGTGACCGACAGTTTATGAAAATGCAGGTCATGGCAAGTCCCAGCACCTTCCGATCGCTCCGCAGCCCATGAGATGGCGGCATTGGCCAATGAGGACAGTGAAGAATGAACAGCGAAGCACAAACATAGAATGTTGCACCCTATGTACCACATTTTACGGAATATAGTCTAAGGACTATGCATTTTTTTGAGAAATTTTACCTGGTGCGGACTATCTGCGGGTGTGAACTATACAAGGATTTGTATTTTTCTAGGTTGTTCACTTCGACAAGAAGTAAAGTATTTTATGAATCACAGAGTATATTAATGGTGATTTATGTAAGATACGAGCTTCTTCGTGAACTAATACAGCAGGCATTTGTCAAGGAGTGCCGTGTATGATCATTTTTACGGTCGGATTAGGCACTAAGTGCAAAGTATGAGTTGCGTGCGGACTAAGCACCGGGTGCAGATTATCAAGCAAAAGCTTTTATTTTTTACCCCAAATTTGCCCTTGCAGACTATACAGCAAATGCATAATATAGTCCACAAAACAAGGTAAGTACTGAGTAGAAGTCTGATGTAACTAGAAGTAACTAGAACAAGAAGCAGGTCTAAAAATTCTTCCCTTCCTCTCTTTGCATTCATTAATGGGGGAGAAAAAGTTCACAGGTACCAATGCACCTTGGGGCACAACATTATCGACGGCTTAACAGACATTTCTTAAAGGGGCCCTGCAATCATATTTAAGTGTCTACCTTTTTAGCGGTTGCCCCGTCTCTTGGGGTTCGGTCAAGCCAGCGGGCACGAGAGAGTAACTAAATGTCGGTGCTTCATATTTTAACCGGACGACGCGGAAACTTCCTCCACCGACGAGGGCGACCCGCGGTACCAAAAGTGCACAAAATGCGACGTCTTTGGTCCTAAGCTTACTACTGGTCAGAACCGCTAAAAGCTTCTTTTTGGTCGAAATACAAAATATAAGTGGTGCGAACCATTTCAATTATTTATAAAAGTAGTTTTTGTTCAGTATTTTAGATAAAAAAGAAACGAATGCCGCAGCATAAAGTACGGAAAGAAGAAATGACCCGTCGACATACCCGCCACCAAGCGGTGGAAAAAGCGGCGGAAAAAGCGGCGCATACTAGAAGAGTAGTGGGATCAGGCGCCGACACAGAAAGGTTTCGGATGTACGCAGCGGCGCCGCGGTCGTATGGGCAGGAGGAACTGACCGGCTCCGAGCGTTCCGAAGGCCTTCGGTGAAAAGCTTCGTCTTGCGTTTTGGCCGTTTTGCGGTATGGCAGCGCAAAGTAGCTCCCATTCTGAACTGATCTTTACCCCGTGTTTGCTGTCGTTTGTGGCCAATAAAGTGTCATGCCGAATTAGTGTTTAATCGTGCAGCAAATGCAATGAGAGCCGCTCTGGCTGCCCGCTGCATACAGCCTATCCAGAACACGCTTTAATGGCGCCCTCTCGCGCCGTCGACACGAAGTGCGGCAGCAGTGAGCGCTCGATGAGCTCACTACTTCTCCTCTAGTTCACGGCCACTCTCAAGCAACCAAGGACGTCATGAGGGAGGTGATTTTTTGCTTGTTTTTGTAATTTTAATCTGCCTATAACTTTTAAAATAAAGGGAATTTCGAGAAAAGAAAAGTTTCACTTAGTTACTACGTTCAGTGCGCTCAGGTTCGGTGCAAATTAAAAATTAGTAAAAAAAGTCATTGCAGGGCCCCTTTAAGACATTGCATTACCAACCTGCAGCTAATCGAAAAGGAGTACCCCTTTTTTGTTTGCTTACAGATCAGTAGGGGTGTGCGAATATTGAAATTTTCGAATACGAATAAGACGAAAAACGGGGTCCGAATATCGAATCGAATATCTGTCTAACAATAAAAGATTGCAAAACAAGAGGTAAGAGCAGGTTTTATTGCCTTTCTAAAATAAATCAATACAACTGCATATTACTGGGCTGCAGCAGATACTTCTAGTAATGCACTCCTTACAAGTTATCGTATAAGAAAAGTAACTGCTCAACGTGTTCAGAAAGTAAGCGCTCCCTACGCGCCGTGACATTTCCGCCAGTACGAAGGCCCTTTCACTCGGGAAACCTGCACAATTTCACTAAAGTTCGAAGAAGTTCCACTTATGGACAGTGTTGCCCGTCTGCTACACGAATACTTCGAATTTTGGGAAACAAATAATTTAGAAAGTACTTTATTTTATATTTCATAAAATGGTTACCAATGTTTACACCATACAAAAGCGAAAATATGCGCTTTCAACGCTTTCATTAGTTATTAACGTGAACGAGTGATGCCAATAAACGCAACAAATATAGCACTTCTCCTCTACCGGGCAGAGTCAACTATATATTTTTAAAATTTTTGTGCATGCGCACAAAAGTCGAACTTCACTCGAACCTTTGTCAAACCTCATGTTGAAAGTTCGAAAAAGTCGAACTTGGTCGAACTCGAACCTGGGCAGGTTCGCGACAATCCTAGTTTTGACTGTGCGGGAGTGGCAGTTGTTGTTGTCAATGGCAATGCAATGTTCTGCTCGTACCTAGCTTTTTTTTTTTTTTTTTTAATTTTCAAACATTTATATTAGATAATACTCTCGAGATTTATTTTATGTTTATATTTCACTCTCGAGGTTCATTTTATTGTATCAATTTATAGAATGCGCAATTACATCACATATTGCTATATGTGATGTGATCCTGTCTTGCTGGCATCGGAAAGATAGAAACTGAGCAGACGGATAACGCACGCATCGTACGCCTTTCTCAGTGAATAAACATATTCATAGGGTAATGCGAGGCAGGCAGATTATTTGTTACTTGCTCGAATATTCGCTGTTTGTGCGAATATTCGCCGTTTTTCCCGAATATTCGGGAACTTCAGAATATGCAATTTTCGAATCGAATACGTTTCGAATAAGGAAAATATTCGATTCGTATTCGAAATTTCGAATATTCGCACGCCCCTACAGATCAGCCTTTACATACGCAGCACTCCTTGAAAACATTTTTTTTGATGCTTGGATAAGAGGCGTTTTCACCAGAGAAGATTTACGCTGCATAAAACAATTTAGACAGAGCCTTGGATGAAGCATGCGAGCCAATCCTCCTCTCAATTTTTCTTTCTTGCTTTTTTGTTAGCATGATTCGTCTGCTAGCAATGTGGGATACAGTCGTCAACTAATTTTCCGACGCCGAAATTTCCTACGTGCTTGATTATTCGGACAACCTTACGGAACCGTCACTTGCTACCTAGAGTTAATGTATAACAGTGCCTGAAAATCCGGAAAACGTACACCTTGTTGCTAGATTTTTTGTATGTTTTAGCGACCAGCATACCACTGCCTTTTTTGTTTGTTTTGGTTTGGCGTGTAACCCCATAACCGTGTTGTACAGATGTTTTATGCAAGGAAACGCTGTCCATGCGATAGAGAAGTCGGATTGAGGCTATGATCATAATCATTTTTTTTCACGCAATCGAGGTTGATTTGATTTGTGCTTTTTTTGTGCTGTTCACGGAGGCATAGCGGTCGTACAGGTAAACGTCCGGGCACTGTCCGCCACAGTTCTCTGCCTGCCTTCTGCCGTTGTCTCCAAGCAGTGTCAAATGGTGCCGACTGCACCTTCCCCACATTGTTGTCTGCGTCAACGGCTAGGTTTGACTCTCTTTTGTGCTGTGCCTCTGGAAAGCTTGTCGAATCTATGAAGGGATCGTTGTAGTCTAAATGCTCGGAAACCGCTTCGATGTCCGCCGCTGTTCTTTGTTTATAGCTTCGTTTATGGACAACTCGACCGACACTGTCATGACATTTAAGAACTTCACAGACGTGGACAATGCACTTCGTGCAGGCCATCGTGCGGCCGTCCAACGCGGACCGCTGAAATGCAAAACGATCTGATCGCGATGAGGCAAAACACCGTCCAGCAAGCTATCGACCCGTTTTTCCAGCCATTTAGTACTTAAGGTGCTAAGACAGAGCTTCTTTTGGCTGAATTCACTTTTTTGAACTGCTTGCTTATCCGGAATAATCCCAATCCAAATCGAATCCGAATAATCGGTTGGCAACTGCATTTTGAACTTTCGCTAAGTGGGCAAATTCTGCCTGGTCACTGTTAAGGCCCGTTCACACTCTTGCGACCTCTTAAACCTGGGTTCCTTAAAACTTCTTAAACCAGAGAACACACTGGCACCATCTATTGGGAAGCAATGTAAACTCGGCGGTCCGGCATATTTTTTTTTTTATTTCTCGCGCATTACCCTTTCTTTCTTGGGTCGAAAAGCTTTTGTCAATGTTATAAACGAGCCTTTCTATGGGTATTACGCACATTTGACCTCGGAAATCCCGCAAAACCTTCGCTCTTGTGAAATGCAGTTCCAGGGTCACCGCATAGATGGCGCCACAATGCCAGTGTGTTCCCTCATTCTAAAAACATTTAAGAAGTTTTAGGAGATCTCGTCTCTCTCAGTCGTACTCGGTCGCAAGAGTGTGAACGGGCCTTTAAAGAGAACGTAGCAAAGTCGAACGCGACCAAACTTACCGGAGATTTCATCTTCTTCAGGGATCGTCGGAATGGCAGAACCCAGGGATGAAGACCTGCAACGACATTGCCAACTTAGCACATCTACAATTCTTTGCCAACTGTCTCCTATTCCAAGCAGTCAATGTATGCTAGTTTGAAAAGCCCAAACTACAGGGTGGAATACATAGAGGGGCTGACTATAAAATGTGCCAGTTAAATTAGCATCTCCACATGACGTGCTAAAACTTTTAGGAAAGATGTATTTTATTTGAGGACTTCACTTTTTTAAGACATCAAGGTGTAGCTTCACTCCTGTCAAAAAACGAGAATAACAGTCTTGACGTTTTCAGCTACGGGCTCCACCCAAATGCCCGAGTCGCTCAAGAGTTGTGCATGTGGCGCCATCTTCCAATAGGCTCGGCAAGCACTCGGTCGAAAGCAGACGAAGCAGTCGTCGCTTGTTGTGCCTATTGGGGGATGGTGCAACAAGAATGGCTCTGTAGGGAGTCAGTCGTCTGCATCAGAGCCCACCACTAAAAGTGCCAAGGATATGTTGTTTTCACTTTGTACAGAAAACGGAGATATACCTTAAAAATTTTAAAGATAAAGTTCAACACTCAAATATTCATTTGTTATATATTTATCAATACTTTCAACATATTGGGGTCAAAGGTGGAAGGGATGATTCAGGTAAATTGTTGCATTTTTCACCGATATAAAACAACTCTTGTGTAAGCATCCTCCTTTTACACAACATATTCAGCAACACACACCAATAAAACTGTATTGTCAAAATTTGACAAGCATGGCAGATATATGGTTATTAGATACATATAAAGATTTATAGAATTGTTACATACCATGTAAAGATTTATACAATTATGACATATGTTTAAAGATTTATACAACTATTACACACATATAAATATTTATACAATTATTACATACATGTAAAGATTTAAACTTACAGAATACGCTATAGAACCCATACCAATCATAAATATATCGAGACATTCCAGCATTGAGAAAGGATATCTATAGAATTCGGAAACAACTGAAAATTAATCAATGCCCATAACACCACTGAGAAGCCTGTTCCATCAATATTTATTTGAGCTGTAACAGGTGCTACCATCTTTGAGTGATGCAAGCATTCAGATTGGAAGACTCTTAGTCTTAGACACTTGCAGCCATAAATTTTTAGAAGTTTATTATAGATATAAAAAACAACTTCACATGGTGGCACGTTCTTCTATTTATAAAGCATTGCCAATTCACTAGTTTTGTTTTGTTGTCTTTCTGTCCAGCAGACAGCATTGTTTGCTTAAAATCTAAGAGAGATTGCCTGTGCCGCTACCAATCGGGCCGTCCTCACATTCTTTAGTGAGGCTGCCGAGCAAAAAATGCCAGGTTTATCAAAATAGTACACCATTGCTGGAAATTTAGGCTCGTTAACTGCAGGTGTCAATTTAGTCCAGTGCGTTTGGCTGTGGGCCACTCTGCTAAAGCCACCCCGTAGACCATTCTAGTACTAGGGCGAAACGAGATAGAGAAATTAACCTCCACGTTTGAGCAGTTTTGGTGGTAGAGCCCGCTGGTACTGCCCAAACGACGAGAAAGGCACGTGCCCTTTTCCTCGTCTACCCTCCCGAATCGGTTGGAAATGCCCGGATAAATCTAGATAGCGCCGCAGCAAAACAAAATGGCACCACCCAGATGGCCCTTAGTGGAATGGTCAGGGCTGGGGTTACCTCTTCCGCTTGCGCGGTACCACCGTCTCGTCCGCTTCGACCCTGGTTGCCGTGACGCCGGCGGCTGCAGCGTTCTCGGCAAGTGCTGGCTTGGCGCTGGGTGACTCCTGTTTACCGGACCTGCCCGCAAACTCTGCAAACGTCTGCACTCGGTACAGCTTCTGCGCAGCCTGTTGGTTCTTCAGCTGCTTCACCGCTGCGTGGCGCAAAGACGAGAAAGGGAAATCACTCTTTCAAAGTATGCCGTCTGCAGTGTACCACGCTGTGGTCTATTGCAGGTCAAGAACAGTGGGGCAAGCCCCACCCACAAAGCACTCTGCTTGCCACAATTGGTGGTTTCCTCTTCTCTAGCACTTTCCCTGCTACACTGGAAAGAGCGGAGGGCTTTGAGGGAAGAGTTCTCCCGCTTTCCTTAACCTGCAACAGACTAGAGGGGCCCACGAGAGAAGTGGCGTCGTAATTCGAGTTTATGACTTCGTGTCTCACGGCCGGGGGAGAATTCTCATTTTTTCGGACTTCCCGGCTTCCTCGGAACACCTCGTTTGTAACAGATGTTGCAATTCACCGCCGTCGGAGCTACGGGTTACCTGAAAGCGACCCTGACTGAGGTTAGCTAGGGTTGCCTGGAGATAAAGTTACCTGGACGTGACGAACAGCTCCTAGAGGATGAGGCCATAGCGTTGGATTTCCTGTCGCCCACGGGAAATCGGTGCAGGATACAGATCAGACATCAGTGTTGCTTCAGCGCTCGGCTGGGGCTCGTGTTCTCGCTGAATGAACACGCGTCCAAGCTGAACACTGATGCAGCACTAGTGCCCAAACTATGCCTTCCGTGGGCATGCGGTAGGCGACGTAGAAAAGGCAGCACTACGGCCTCGATATCTCAAAGGTGAAGCAAAGACCCAATCTAGGATTAGCCGGCGTTCCCGAGGAACTTTCTCCTGCCAGCTAAACTCCCCGCAAGGGGGATTTGCTCGTAACACGACCAGCTTCATGGAGACAAGGTACCGTATTTACTCGAATCTAGGCCAATAGTTTTTCCAAAAAATTAAATCCGAAACTCGGGGGTCGGCCTAGATACGAGGATCCGGCTCCGCCATGACCGCGGTACGCCATCTTGTCTACATCGCTTCGGGAAGATACGCTGTGTACCACGGAACGCACGGAACGTTCGTTTCTACTCGACGCTATGGCATCGACCAGTCGATGCCACTACTCCGCGGCTTTTAAGAGGAAAGTTGTCTTGGCTGCTGAACACTCGTCCAATCTTCAAGCCCAGCGTGACTTCGGCGTGGACAAAAGAAATGTGCGTCGCTGGAGAAAGCAGCGTGGTCAGCTCTTTGCACGTGCGGCAACAAGAATGGCGTTCTCAGGACCGCGGAAGGGAAGGCACCACGAGCTGGATCGCGCCCGCATGGGACGACATCCCGGCGGAACTGGTAGTAAAGTTGTTCCGAAAGTGTTGCATCTCGAATGCCCTGGACGGTACGGATGACCACGCGTTGTGGGAAGTGGACAGTGACAAAGATACCAGTGAGGACGACGAATGATCAGGAAAAATGTGGACATTAACCGTGAGCATACCGTCGGATTTGTGACCGAAATAGTGCTGTACATTGCAGATAAATTCCGTTCTCAGTTTAATTTATGGTGTTTTTCCTATACTTTTTGGTCAACTTAGAATCGAGATTTTTTTTTTTTTTTTTTCGGCCCTGCCGTTTTTGCGGGGTCGGCCTAGAATCGATGCCGGTTTAGAATCGAGTAAATACGGTACCTACAAAAAAAATACTCGGCGTAAAATATTTTTAATACGTTGTAGAGGCTATAGTGTAGCTTCCAGAGTTACAGCGCGGCACTGCTGCGAGAGCATGGGGTCTCATCTTGCGTCTCGTTTTCACACACTCTCGCTTGTAAGAAATGCCGAACGAAGTGACGCGCTCGCGCAGGTGGCTTTGACGACGTTAACGCACTTAGGAAGCTACACCAACCTCGACTACATGGCACGAGATAGTTGACGCTGAGGCAGGCAAATGGCTGCCGTATGTCCGTCCTCGCTTCGGTTATTCGAGTCCGCTTTGGCGTGCAGGGAGAGGATGAGCAAGCTTGAAATGTCAACGAAAGGAACCACATTTGCAAACTTTAGGAGCAGCACGCAAATTTATTTCTGTGAAAGATTGTGTTAAGCGTCTGCTGAGTGGATCTGGCTGAAACAATGGGTACTTCCTGCCCTCTGACCGGTCAAGTGACATAAAAAAATCCCTCCTACCCACCAGGAGGAACAACAGCATTAACCTCCAAGGGCAGACTGCCCCTGGAGATAACCCCAACTTTGAAGATCTTATCCAAAAGCTGTGCCTTGTCAAGTTTTCTGAAGCGGAACTTTAATGGGATTTCTGAGAATTATCAACGGGATAACAAACTCCTGCAGAAGCCACGAGGACAGAGAAATCGGCGCTGAACCCCAGCCGCAAGGCACGCGTCTTCCAATTAAAAGTTGTACAAAATCATTCCTTAATTTGATTCAGACGTCATGGCAGCCTTAATGTTGGCTTCAGGCAAAGCTTCTGCTCGCTAACATATTCAGTTTGTTTAGTGAAAAAAAAAACGAAGCTGTCTTTCCTTTGAGCAAATACAATGCTAAAGCTTTCAGGGTTTCTGAAGATTGCCTGGCTTAGACGTTCTGTGAAATGCAAGGAATGTGCGATAGCACTTACCATAAAATAACAAGCACGCGCCCATGTAGCAATAAGCGTAAACGCCCTACTTCTGAGACATTTCAAAAATCATACAGGGCATATCAAGCACCTCTCCATTTTAAGCAAGTACAAAAATTGGCAAAAGATGCATCAAGTGCCCAGTCGCCATGGGAGGCCATTATCTCCGTGACTTGCAGAGAGCATGGGCCAAGCCAATGCATAGCACGGGTGAGGTGGCTTTAGTGACAAAAACTAGACAGTGTGTTGTTGATCACTAATTATTATTAATAAACCGTTTACCATATTTACAGTGCACTTGTGACACTAACGAGAAAACCCGAAATTCCAATCATTATAAACGATTATCATTGTATTGGGACTAGAAACTTATTGTTATAAGCAGTACATTCTTATATGTTGTATCAATATAAGTGGATTGCACTGTACTTGCATAATGAGCGAACCACCACAATGGTCGTCGGTATTTATAGCTTTCTTTTCCCACGTGGCTGCCAAGTCATTTAATGGGGGGCCCTGCAAACCATTTCTGGCCATTTCTTTATTTTCATCGCATTTGCTCGAACTAGTGTGTGGGACTCTAGCAACACACTAAAAATATCATAAAAAAGATACCTGATGTATTTTGAACATAATAGAAGGAAGAATTTCTGAATTTTGAGCATATTTTCTTTTGCTGACGCCATTAGCCTGAACCAAAAGAGAACAGAAATAACAAGAGCATGCAACTACCATGTGCAATCTTCCTAATTGTTGGAATTAACATCCAGTTTATAAAGATGTGAACGCCCCATGAACGACAATGTTGTCACTGAACGCTCGTGTTTGTCACCGATAAGCATACCTTTCAAAGCAGCATTTGGTTTTCTTCGTCCCTTTGCGCGCCCCTTTAAGCCGCCGAACGGCCGGGCCAAGCCAAACCAAGCATGTCAGCACATGCAAACGAGTTATACAGCTGCTAGTGGGAAGTTGCAGAAACACTCAACAGTGTAAACGCGCGGCGCACACGGCCACAAGAATTTTGGTTGAGGAATTGACTGGCCCTCGATATGTTTCGCCCATCGAACACATTGATGTCAAACAACATGCCGTGGCCTCTGGTCTGTTTTCGGACGGTGACATTGTCAAAGTGGTTAGGCCTAGGTACGGTCGGGTCAGTATTTTGTGCCGAGCGTCCCCAACACGAAAACTGCATCGAGTGTCGTAGGGCGCTTTTTCGTCAACGAAAAGAATGCCGAAGTGCCGTTTTTGAGCATCTGCTAGCTTGGCAAACGACGGCCATTTCGAGTTCAGTGGTTGGATTAAGCAAGAGCCCACCCGACCGTGTGTACCTTCTGCATTTTCGCTCTTAGGCCTAGCAAGCGCCGATCCCCCAGACTTTCACGATAATTTCCCAATTTAGAATGGGCGCTGGCTTCGGATTTTATGGTAATGGGCTTTTTTTTTAGCGAGCAGCACATTCTTTCAAAATGATGAGCAATGTGATGCGCGGCAAAGGAACGTGTGACCAAACATCACATGACGCCAGGACGTGTGACATCGATTTTCCCATTAAATTTAGTGGAACATTGATGTCACAATGTCACGTGCTGACCATTTTCCCACTAGTCATGTGATATTGTGACACGATGCGGTCAGACGAACACGAGCAAGAAATGTTTGCCGGGGGTTCCCATTTAAAGCTATCGCTTTACAACAAGCTTCAGTTAAGTCTTTCGAAGAACTTGACAGTAGCAGATACACGATCGTAGTCGGTAATGCTAAAGTTTGCATACTCGGAACCAACAAGCACAGAGGTTTGCACAGTGTCGTTAGTGACGTCTGCATGCAACCGTGCATAGTGAAGACAGCCAATGTCTCCTGAATTCAAAAATGCAGCTCAACTAAATGAGAACAAAGCCCCAAATCAAATGCTCAGCCCAACGTTACTAAACCACTCGGTTGGGAAACTGTCATAGAGACTGCTCTGAAAAAGTGTCCCCGATCTGTCCTCGAGCACCGAGCTAATGGCGAACGCAACGCCGCCATTTCTCCCGCAGCGGCCACTTGAGGAACTGCACGTGACGTCTATTTCAGCTTTAATCGGCCATTTTGGCACCGAAACAGATACAGCGAAAGAGGTTACAGGGGTGCCACCCCCGTCTCCCCGGCGGACGGGCCGCGTCTTACTACCGAAGTTAAAATGCACCTAGGTCGGGACGCACTACCTGAAAGCACCGCTGAGGCATGGTTGTATAAAAACAATATTGTGTCGCAAAACCTTGCAAACTAATGATTTTAAAAACATCATGCGCCCTTTATTTTGTACCAAACTCTAATAAATTTCATACAAAAAGAGTCTTTTCCGTTTCTTTTTACGCAAAAACATGCTTTCTAAAAACTCAAGGTGACCACAGTACAGACAAATGATAAAGAGTGGCGCTGTTGTCGTATTTAGCTCGGTCTCGGTGGACGCCAGCAGCCCAGGTTTCGACGGCGAGTTTCCAAACTGAGTGTCTTAGTAATGTTGGCTCAGCCCAAACAACTCGAGAGACAGGTATAGTTTGGGCGGGGCTTTCAGTTGGGGCGGCCATGTTGACACACCCACCTTGTGCGGCCAGGGAAGCAGTAGGAAGCGCAACGAGGGCTTCGGTGTCGTTCAGCCAGTGCACCGTTACGTAACCTGTAGTGCACCCAGAGAGAAAGAAGACCTGTTCAGCACCCATCACCTCCCTGCTTTCCGTAATGCCCAAGCATATTTACAGAAAGTGAGTATTCAAGAATGAGGCTTCGCTACTAAGGTGTCGTCCACCCTCACAAACTCCCCTGTTGGGCGTTATCATATGCCTGTTGCAACAGCAGTTTTGTTTAGAGTGCAACGGTATCTACCACAACACAGGAATACAGGCTTTCTTGATGGGTCTGTTAGAGCAGTAATCTGTTACGACTGAGACCATTGCAGGTCAGTGGCACTGTATTACAGTTTTCACAAGAGAGATCCACTAAGAATTGAAGGAGTAATAAGTCTTCTAGAAAGTGCCCATCTCTTGAAAAGCTGAAGGACAAATGTTCCCCCAAAAAATTTTGAGTTTGGTTTTCATGCAAGAATAAACTATATGCATTGCCAAACGCTGTCTTAGCCCAAACGTAGCACTTGCGGTCTCGACCAGATGCCAAAGTTTCAGAGTTTGATGTTGTCTTACCAGAACCTATTTTCTGGAATTTTTTAATGGGAAGATGAAGGCCGATGAAGCCCACGAACAGATGGAGATGGATGGTATCAGCTACCGGGAACGGGCCCCGCATTCCCGTTGAAAGTTGTAAAAAATTGTTTATAACTTTTGAAAAAAATTTTGGCTTGTTCTGAAGCTCTGGCATCTGGTCCGGACCACTAGCACTACCTACATTTGGGCAGAAACTAAGAGCGAGATGTAGCTTCTTTTGGTGTTAGAAAACACTAAATTTTTGGAATTTCTATAAAATCTAAAACCATAGCTCCTGTAGGAAACCTGCCATAACTACGAACACATGAGAGAAATTATTAAACATGCTGGAAGAAAAATGTTGGCATAAGGTCAGATGCATATCTCCAAGAAGAGTAGTAACACTGCCTTGGGATACACTGCCTAGCCCCTATCCCCAAGTTGTTCAGTGAATGCTTATTTAAACAAGTGTGAGCCCCTGATGATCTCTACAGCCAAAGCAGCTAAAAGATTTGAAACACGAAACACAAAGCTCCTGAAGTGGGGACGTCTCGCAAGTGCTAGTAGGAATGAGAAACTTGTTCCATAAACAAAAAAACACAATAATTACTTCTTTATAGTTTTCTTACTGTCCCTATGCAGTTATTGCTTATCCTACCCCAGGGGTTCTCAGATGTTTTGGACCTACGGAATACCAGGAAACCTAAAAAATTGCTGCAGAACCCCCACCCCTCCATATTTGGCGATCGAGAAGCACAGAAGCACAATCGTAGCCAATATTGCTTGTGTTGCTTCTCATATATCCCCACCACATGAATCGCAATGTCAGTACAAAGTAAGATGAAAGCACTTTGCACAGTCCTGGTGCGCAGCCCACGGCGTGGTTTGAGAACCCTTCTTTTGTACGGACATCTCAGCGTTTGTACAATTAGGATAATTTCTGATAAAACGCGCAACCACGACGGTTCAAGACCCCGCTCCTGAGTACCGACAGAGCCCGTTCCCGATTATGATCACTGCCATTATCATAATCTACTACGGTTATCAGAGGAACCTCACCGTAGCTGTGGAGCAGCTGCGTCAAGTCGGAGGTCCTCCACTCTTTGGGGAAGGTGATGTGAAGCACATGGTCTCGAACCGGTCGTACTGGAAGAGAGAAAAATACTAAATTAATGACTGATTCATTCATTCGAAGTGTCCTTCATTTTCTTTTAAGGATTGCTTGCTTATGAATGTCTCCCCCTGAGGCAGACAAACAAATGAGAAAATGCTTATTGAGATGCAACTCAACTACCTACCAAGACCAACACTTGGGGGCTCCGTTTTATTAAATAAAATAACAGAAACACATACACAATTCCTCGCTACTGCTTCAATAAAGTGCAATAAAGTACCTCTTAAAGGGGTACTCAAGTGCTCTTTGGAGAAGCTTGTTTTTGATGGCATATTGATAGAACCGGTCAATCAGAATGACCGGTTCGAGATAGCAAGACGTCCTAGCAAACTCAGAGTAACAGAAATACACGGGTACTATTTTCTGTTGGGCGGACCATCCTTGGGCCCCCACCACCTCTATAAAATTTGACCACTAAAGATAGCTAATTTCATGGAGATACCAAACGTTACTATAGTAGCTTTTTTTAGGAGCGTTGTGCAATATATTCTGAGAAAAACGTCAAATCTTTGGGTGCACGGAACGTAATACAGCAATCATTGTTTGGAAACGCCGTCTGACGGCGCCCCCAGTTGTCTGCTCCAAGGTGCAGAAAGAAGGGAATGTCACCATGAGTGTAATTTCGTGTTTTTGAGCATCTTTAGATCCCGTAGATTGAGCTGTCACCGTAAATAGACAATCTCAAAGTCCATTTGAGTGCCCACTGGTGCCTACAGACGCTTTGCACACGAGCCAGATTACAGCCGCCATTGCTGACCCTCTCTTGTCCTACCGAGATGCCGAGCAACTGAAGTTGGTGTTCACGAGCCTCACAAAGGCCAATGAGGGGGAGAAGCAGACAGTATAATCTGAAGTGCCAATAACGTTTCTTGCTGTAGCAATGATGAAGTTAATTAAACGAAATAAGAGGAAACAAAAAACTAAAGGTCTGTTATGGTGCCACCCATGCACAAATGCTGCAAACCGTCTGTAGACGACCACACCAAATTCATAAACAAAGCAACAAGGTCGTCGAACATTTCAGGAAGAACTCAAAAGCAGAATCACTCTAAATTTCCAAATTCAACATTGCAGCAACCGGCACTTCTGAGGTGAAACAATTAATGGGAGACCTTCCGTTTCAATGAGGAGTTTCGACTAGAAATTTAGATTTTAGTTCTTTTAATGATTTTTATTGTGTGTATCTTTTAGTTTCACAAACAAAAATAATTGTTAAAAAATGTTGAAGTACAAGTTACAAAAAAAGAACTTGCCTTACAGCAGCTCACAAGAACACGCAAGTTTACCATTTTCAAGATTGCGCCCCTCCTAACGTCTGCGTCGGCCGGCATTACCGTTGCTTCTACATGGAGGAGTAGGCCTTCTTCCATAATTTCATACTTGCGTTACAAATAATAATCAAAACTATGTTTTTCCGCACCCCGATGTCGACCCAAGTGGCCCTTTAAAGGGAAACTCCGCTTCATTCTCGGTTGTTAGCAAACACTGCGACTCTCTTTAGTATCATCTAGAAAGACCGAATGTCAAATATTATAACGTAATACCGCCTAGAAGATCACTAAACCGGCCGACAAAAACTGAGATGCGCGAAGTCACCAAAATCCGCTAATTTAGCGGGCGACGTGCGGCGCAGCCAACGTTGTATTTCCGTTGTGGCTGACGTCTGTTGCATACGCAGTTTTTTTTCTTGGTATTTTCTTTTCAGGGAGAGCTTACCGGGCGGCGCTACGGACGCGCACCAAGTTTGAGCAAGCAAAAAGGCGAGACAGACAAAAAAAAAATGAATGAGAACAAGAGAAACAAAAAGAGGGAGAGAGAGTTGTACGGGATGAGTTTCACTGACATACCTGCCAACCGGTGCCAACCGACTAGCCGCCTGGGTTGCCGCCTACATAGCCTGCTTCGTTGCTGCTTGCGTTGCCTGTTCGCCGCGATGCCGCCGCGGCATGGCCTGCCCTCCCTCCTCCCTCCTCGCCCTTCCCCTCGCATCCGCGTCTTTCTTGGGTTACCGCTAGTAGATCACGTGACCCCTTGTATTCCACGTGGGTGCGTATGCAACTGACGTTGAGGGTACAATGTTGCCCGGCTGTGCCGAAGTTTCGGTTTCGGTTTGCGATTATGGTAAATAACAAGATCGCACGAAAAATAGTTTGCTTTTAATGAAACAAACGGTCTAGGGATGTTTTGAAGTACTTTTCACGTTTATGTCACCCACTATCTCAAAATTTCCGAAATCGAGCGGAGTTGCCCTTTGAAGTCACATGAAGTAAATGCCGGACTGCTGTCGGCTGCCGCCCCCAACGCGCCATGCAGCAAAACTGGAGCATTGTTTCGTATCACATCGCATCGCACATCGTCCCTAACGAGAACCAAGTTTTCTGTTAGCCTATCGAGAGTTTTTACGACGAGAAGCAACTTTCGGTTCCACTAGAGCCAACGGTCTCTGCGCGACTGTACGAAGGAAAACCGAAACAAAAGCGGAAAGGGCAACGAATGCGGCAGACCCGACTGCGCACCCGCCACACCAGCAGAGTGGCGACGCGCCTTCCAGCAGTGCAGGCACTGAGCAACAAAGTACTTTTAAGCAATGTTTCAAACTTCATCAGCACTTTGGCAAAGAAGCTAACGAAATTTCACAATGCGGAAACGGTTGAAAAGGGAAGCGTCGGTAATTCCTTTATCTGCGAAGGTGAAACTTTGACAAGGCTTCTGAGTGGCATGAATCGCAAGACACGTGGGGAGCTCGCCGTTGCAGGGAGCACGGACCGAGAGGGCGCAACCTGTGATGTGGGGAAGTTTCGGTGCAGAAGTCCAAAGAGATGCATTCGGACTATATTACCCCCAAATTTCGTGTGGTTTGAGTGGTAAGTTTCGTACCTCACATAGAAATAAACTTGGAAAGGCATTTTTTGTCTCAAATTGGTGTTCACCTGTTTTCACAGTTTGTGCACTCAATTTTTCTCCTCTAGCAGTTGTCTAATCACAGCGATATTTTACACAGAGGTTTTTGAGGATGCAAAGAGTGTACAAATCTTGTTAATTACAAAATAGTGCTACTAAACAAATATACATATAAAACAAAAAGTAAGTTTCAAAAATACTAACAATATATATCTATATATATATATATATATATATACTTTTTTTAATAAATAAGTTTAGTTATTAGTGATTCAACTAGATATTCACACTCTGTAGTTCATGGAGAACCAACCTGGCTATTTAGGCTGCTCTATCTTAATAATTAACGGCAAAAATTCTGTACACAAGATGGGTGTTTTTTGTGCATGCCATGCAGCATAAATATCGAACTAGAGCAGGTATCAGAAAACAAATTGCATAAATGAAAAGACAAGCCCACTTTCTTCTAACTGTTCAAGTTTCACCCTCTTAACTCCAATATTAAAAAAAAAAAGAAGAAGAAAGTATGTGGAACATCTTTTTGTAGACATGCAACCTTTCTATAGTAAAAAACTAAAATAGCGAAGGTATAAGTATAATAATATAGTTAAAGGTTATACCAGTCAAAAAATTAAATCCAAGATAACTTCGCATCTAGAATCCATTAATTGTCACTATATATTCTTCGACAAATCTAAATCATGAACCTGCTCGACTTGTGCATAAATTAGATTTAATAGCAGGACGCCGGGATCTTCTTATTCTGTGCGGCAGTCATTTGAAAAAGAATTGAGCAGTCCTGTGTTAATCTACACTACAGTCACAGCGATAGCTGCGACACGTCACGGCGAAGTCGATAGTTATCAGAGTCACGTCCACGCACCGTGAACAAAAGTGTTCGGAGCAAAATACTAATAGACATCTGACCATTTTGCACTGAACGCTTTTGTGTCTTTTTTGTTCTGGAGCGTTTAAATGCGCATTTCCTGGCACGAGCTCTTGGCATCGACAGTGCTACAATGGCAGTTTGTTATTGGCTATCGTTGCTTCCAGAGAGCGTGTGCAGTGGGCATTGGGAACTACATGAACTCAAAGCATATAGGGTGGGTTATTAATGCTGTGGTGTAGCTCGGTAGTGACATCTCCGCTACGCGTGCGGCAGACCCAGGTTCAATTCCCGCGGGCGGCAAGAAATCGTTTTTGAGGATTTTGCAACGTAGACGATGGGCGTGCTACATTGCCAACTACAACATCAACAAGTACTACTACTACTACTACATCCACAACTACAACATCAACATCATTTCCAGGGATGGGAACAGTCTATAAAAGCTTTAACGCAATCAGCGAATAGTATTCGCTACTCCATTCAATTTGCAGTACACATTTTTTTTTTTAAAGCATTTGACTTTGTGTATTTGAAAGTCAGAAATAATGTCTTCGGAATTCATACAATCTCTCACGTCAGGCTTCCCCGCTTCGCACTGATGTGTGTGCGTCAAGCTCTCCTGCTTCGCACCAGTGTGCTCAGAAAAAACCCCGCTGACGTGGTAGAGCACCTCGTTTGAGTTGACGTACTAAAAAAACTTTCGCATGTGTCATAGGGGTCAAACTTCTTTGGCCGAGATTATAGCTTCGCTCCTAATTTTAAACGAAAGTCCCAATGAAAGGAAACCATCAACCTATCTCCGTTCAAATAAGCAAGATAGTGATTTCATTGCTTGCATTGTTACATTATGCATCACTTAACTCACCTTGCCGAAGCCATTTTTTTTTTAAATCAATGTATGTAAACTCGTTCTCGTGCAACAAAATTGTTTCTTTTCGTAGGTATGCTTGCTTCAAAATTAATTCCAGCTGCGATTGATGAAAGCATGCATGCTCAGTTCAGATCACGTGCACAGTATTAATTTGAGAATTTGTGGAAACCAAAACAGCAGTTTTCTTCCAACACTGCTTAGGTAATTCTATATTTTGGCAAGTATATGACAAGCAAGTGCCAAAGCCGAACTTTGGTTTTCAAATTAGCCTCGTGTAAAACGCACTCTCTCTCTCTGGCTTACCTTCGTCACGATCCAGCTCCAGGGAAGGGATATCTATCGACTGCATCAGGTACATCCTGCGCAACATCAAATTATACTCATCAATAAACAGCCACAGCACATGATTTAAATACCATACCAATTTTCTCTTCCTGAAACAATAGTTGGTGCGCCCAAATACCAAGGAATTATGAAGTGACTAGGTGAGATGTGCAAAAAGAGAGCTCTTATACTTGGCGTCAACTATTTCATGCTACATTGTCGAGGCTAGCGTAGCTTGTGCAACTAGCTTTGACAGAGTTCGAGCACTGTGAAAGCTAAGCTAGCTTTGACAACATAGCTCAAAATAGTTGACACCAAGTATAATTCTAAATTAAAAATGTTTAGATTAAAAACAAAAAAATTATTTTGTTGGTAGAAAATTAGAAAAAAAAAAAAGACATAAAAACATTGCAAAACTAACACACCATGATGCCAATAGGACAATTATTATAGTGTGTTCTTCAGGCTGTCCTTAAATGTTCCATTTGTTCCCTACACAAACCATGGTCGAGGTGCTTTAAAATCTGCAAGTTGCATAAAGAACAATCCTCTACTAAGTCTTTAACACACAACTCAATTTGTAGCCGTTACATTATTAATGCAAAAATAAACTGTCCCATGCAGCGAACCGACGTAATCAGCTTTGAAACCACGCCAAACGGTGGCCAAACAGCACCTAAAACCCCCTTTCCCAATGGAGCGAAGTGCAGCCGATTCTTGATGGATTATTCTCCCATTGGAAGGCGCATGCCATCAAGGAAAGAGGCTCCCCTTGGCACTTGTGCGGCGCAGTTCCAAGAGAAGCCACTAGAGAAGTCCTCTCCATGGCGGCGTAACGCACGCAGCGGCCCGGCCGCCGGTAAGAGCGGTGCGGTAGTGTGGGCCTGACGTCGGAGCCCACCCGGGCAAGCTCTGGGGAGGGTGCACGGCCGAACTAAGAGCGGCGCGACCACTTCACGAGAGCGCGCGCTCGGCCGTCGGCTGGGGAAACCTGGCCGTCTACGCCACCACGCTGCAGACGAACTAAGGGAACGGAAGAACGCCATTCATGCATTCGCAACTCGTAAGAAGTGCTTAGGTGTCCTCGGACTTTTTTGACTATAACGTCTAATGTATTTGTTGTGCATCCTTGTTAGGCCATAAGCTCTACATGAGGATGTAATATGAACAAACGAATAAATAAACAATGAAAGGTCATACCAATTTAAACATGTAACAAAAAAGGCAACAGGCTTTGAGATATTCATTGATCTGTTTTCACGCTTTTGTCGTTCGATTTCAAAACTTCAAGCAGAAGCATTAGAATCAGTGTCCACAACGATACGTGAAAGAATGCCAAAGTCGTTTTGGGCACCTCATCATTATCTCAGAAGCATATCCTTGGTGGATGCGCCGATGGTTAGTTTCCGCAATAATGACGAGGTGCCTGAAATGTGTATACTGCCGCGTGCATGACCGAGAAGGAATGCTTCTCCGTACTTCTAGAAGATTAGAGGTTACTCTTACCCCGAGCGTAAAAAAATAAGAAGGCCAACATGACCTTGCCGAGCCAGTCTAGCCCTAGCTCACACTCGAACATTACCCAGTCTAGTAGATACAAAGTAGATAAGGAGCCGAGTGTGGCCTCGCCGATTTACCCTCTCTTGCAGTCTCGCTCCAGTCAGTCGTCACGCCGATGCCGCGACGTTCGCTGCTGCTGTTTCTATGCTCATTCGTTGTTTTATCTCTGGCACAAGTTCGCCGATTAAACCTTTCTTTTCAGTTTACGCTCATCCAGCCGTTTCCACCCACGACAATATCACCCTTTTATGCATTATTGTGGACACCGATTTTAATGCTTCTTAAGCCGGTTTAGGAATCGGACTACAGAAATGCAAGAACCATCGACGAATATTGCACTGTGACCCCTAAAACCATTAATTGAAAAGTCAACAAACCTTTGGTAACTAGCCTTCTGTTTGTGGCACTTTCCCATCTGACGTCCGCCAAGCTCGATAAACACGCAGTGAAGATGGCATCCATGTGATGGCCATCCCCCCCTTTTCTTGAATCGTGCCGACAAAGACTAGTAGTATGCGCAGAATGTGTCATAGGCCCTCCAGGTAAGAGAAGGGAGTCTCAGGGGAACTGCCTACCGAAGATTCGTGCTCATTTCTGACACACGCCATGAAATGGCGCAGCACGACAGGAAAGGCCACGAAGTGCGCGGTTGCGCCCTCGCGCCAATTAGTTTGCCTTCGCGTGCTCTGACTACCAATTCTGGATAGCTCAGTGAGCAAAGCATTTCGCCCACAATCTCAAGCTGGTGAGTTCAAATCCTGCCAGGGGACTGAAACGTTTTTATATGGTTCCCTACGGGCGTAACGCCTTTCGGTGTCAGTTTTTTAAAGCAATAGTTTTACGGGCGACACTTTGCAGAGATTTGAACTTCGTCTCCCACCGTCGCCGTGCGCCTGAAGGAGAGAAAACCCCTCCTCTCTTCCCCCTTGCCGCGAGGAAAGGGAAGTCAGGGACATCCCGTCAGCTGTACCTTGCGAGGAAAGCAGAGGAGAGCCCAGGTGTCTCGCCAATAATTGCGCGTTGCAGGAAAAATGTCCATGTCGTCTGCCTCAAAAAGAGTTCTTTTCAAACATTCCTCGCGTTATGCGAAATCCCACTTTGGCAGTATTCAGTTGCTACGCATAATGTTGGACGATTTCAGAAGCTTCCATTGCGCTTACCCACTTACTTCACGGATCACTGGTGGCAGTCGTCAGTGGCATCTACGACGTCAACCACGACGGCTATGAGAATGAACCTTGTTGCACCTCCGTTCTCAGGTACGTAACAGCACCATTCCACCCACATTGTGCGACCTTCCTACAGCTATCGCTTTCGTTTCTTCGCTACTGTGGGCAAAAAATACGACTTTTTTTGTTACAGCCAAACGTCACAAAACGTAAAAATCGGCAGGTAAAACAAATGCATTTGCTCAAATTAAAACAAACTTCCTGTATGCGTCAGTGCTGCTGTAACCTTGATCTAAAAATGCGGAAAACCGTCAAGATGCAAACCTGCAGTTTTTTTTCTGTGCCCTCGTCGCAAATGCAACTTGACGTTATCGGTTCCCAGGCGGAAAGAATGAATTGATTTGGTTGCGGAAGTTTACAACTGCTCCTTGAGGCCACGCATTTGAGTTCAAAGCATCCTAGACCCAATGTGACACACCTGTTGAGGTAAGGCTTCAGCACGGCGCTGCTTGCGTTGATTTCCTCCGCTGGACTCTCGCTGCCCTTTCCTGAAAATATTCGAGAAAATGAGAAAAAACTCTAGAGGTCAAGTTATGCCACTAGAAGGCAAGAGTGGGCATAATCATGCAGCGTAACTAAAGTTACAACTGGAGTTCCACGTTTTCGAGTTCTATTTTTCCTGTGAATTTGGAGGCATTTTGTTTTGGGGTTTCTATTTTTCCCCGCAGATTCGGCGTTTTTCGTTATAGATTTCTGGTTTTGGACAAAAAGAGGCATTTATCGAAGCTCACATCGAAGAAAACAGGACCTGGATGCGAAATTACCAAACCTCCGGGAAACGTAAGCGTGGCCCGAACGTTCTGAGAACGCCCCCTACCGATAATGGAAGAAAACGACGTTGGGCGTGCAATTTTAAAGGAAAAAGTGGCCTTGCGAGGGTGGCCACGTTCCGGGTTAACAAAAAATAAAGCTGTAGACAAATATTTCTTCCTGTGAAGCTTGGGTTTTTCTCCTTTGAGGACAGCTCGAATTCGGGGTTTTTCGGCATTCCCCCGATCATGATGGAAAAAAACTCGGGAGATAATTTTCTGGATTTATCGGAATTTTGCAAGGTTGCTGACAGGTCACCCCCCTGTGAGAACACACGAAACTGTGTTGAAACTGAAATTGCGAATCTTCGGGTATCCACCAGATGGCGCACTGTGTTCCGGGGCGCCAAGTTTTAATTTTAGTGGCACGCGGAAACTGTGTCGATTATATGTATGCTTCTGTGCTTCCAGATAAATCCAGAAAAAAAAAAAAAAACTATTGCCGGTAAAATTTTTTTGTTAATTCATATTTATCCAAGAAACTCAAAAAATTAGAATAGCAAAGGCAAAAAAAAAAAAGTTTTATTAGCAAATCACGTGAGAGCACAGGATCGATGGTACTGGGGAAAGGCCACTTTGGTTTCCTTTGAAATCTTAGATTATTCACAAAAGAAAGCTTACCAATTATCTCGTCAAGGTTCTTTCACAATAATGGGTCATTGTATTCCCGGGTCACAACAAAAGCCTCTGTTCCGCTTTCCAGTTTGGAGCATACTATTTGTGATTCTTGGGGGAGTGAGGGGCTGCGGTTTTACAGTGAAAGCTATGAACCTGCAGATTTCATTGGAGGGGTGCGGAAGAGTTGGAGCGTACTTGCTTCCCAGCCATTACATCCGGGTGTTTAGTGGTTTCAAAGTATTGACCATGATCGAAGCAAAGCATCTTTCCAAGATTTGTCACGAGACCGTTGTACTGCCAATGGCAACGACGCCAATGCCAATTGCAGCTGCAGACATGGCGAGTTCTCAAGAATTTAGGGTTTGTGTCCGGATAATATTTATTCTTATTTACAATTCTCAAAAATTGAAAAGACGGTAAACCTATCCATGTTGAATTAACCTGAGACTGGGGTAGAGAAGAAACATCAAAACGTAGAAGGGAAAGAAAATAGACAGGACGACATCTCAAATTATGGCAAATTAAATTATTATTGCAAATTACTGAGACTTCGTCCTGTCTATTTTCTTTCCCTTCTACGTTTTGATGCTTCTTCTCTACCCCAGTCTCAGGTTAATTCAACATGGTTAATATTCACCAGCTCACCTGCACCCTTACGATTTTTTCTACAGTAAACCTAAGCTCTGAATTTCGGTGAACTGAAGTTTTAAATGAACAAACTCCAATAAAATACGAATTTTCAGCGAAAAATGAACTCCGAAAGCAAGGAATCCATATGATTGATGACTTGTGCATGTGATAAGGAAGAAGCTAAAAATGTGACCAAGCACTGTGTCGTGCCCTTTTAATGAGACACAGATTAGAAAAACAAGTGCATTGCAATATTTGGTCACATTTTTAATAGGGAAAGAGGCCCTGAATGACTGTATTCTCGGGCTTTATGGGATGCTTAGGATTCGTAGATCGGCACTTGTTGCAGTGGTCGCCGAAACTGACCCCGGAGCCGTTGGCAAAGCCCCGCCATGCAGAGGCCCGTGATGTAGGCATCGTAGCCGGCCTCGTGAAGCTTCTCCTCCACAGAGTCGTATCCATAGCCCGGCACAAACTCTGCAAGGGTCAATCCAGATTACATACAATCACAGCTAAATTGAGGCCAGTTGTAGCTGGCCTTATTAGCCGCACCTGCACTAGGGCTCCAGCGGGTCATTAAAAAGAAAAAAAAAGTTCTATACGGAGGGAAAGCCGTCTGCTCTTTCGCGCAGGCCGGTGGCGTGACGTCACCTCGCCGCGCTCTGATTGGAGGATGGCTCCGGGCGGGAGCTGGCGGGAGCTCGGGGGTAAACAAAGCGGTGTCGCCTTTTCTCCGCAGCCATTGCGGAAGGCCTTTTCTGTGGCTCTCGGAAATCCACTGCTAGTGCTTGAACGAAGACGCGGCATACGGAAAAAAGAGACCGGAAATACCTCGAAATGTACGTTACTTCGTTTGACGCGAAAGAATTTACCCTGGGAGCATACGAAGCACCAATATGCGTCCCGGTCTTCGGCGGTGAGATGTTGATGTGAGCCCCCCCAACGTCAGCACGGTGATGTGCGACGCGAGTGAGCCTTTCTACTTTTTGGCGGAGACCCCTTTTCGCCAGCAAGTGTCTCTGTGTCTCCGTGAAGCACCCAAGTGTAGCTACAGCCCTCTTCGGCGAGCTGAACGGGCTGCCGAGCTTTCGAAGGCCGATCTCCCGCAGCGCTGGAACCCGGAGAACCGCGCCATGGCGCTCGCTGAGGTGAGTTACGTCGTTTCTGTACAGTTCGCATCATTCACAAACAGTTGCACGTGAAAGGAGTATAGCAAAGTAAAACGGAATGTTACGAAAAAGCAGCGGATTAGGCGATCGGTGTGGTACGACCGAGCCGAGTGCGCAGTTGTCTGTTCTTAGTCTTTCCCCCCAGCGACAGATTGTATGCCACTTGTCCAAGCAGATAGTGTGGTAGGATATCTGTATGTGGGTCATAAACTTCGCAGTCACGACTCAGTGTTCGATGGTAGCCTATTTTAGCAGTGATAGCGCCATGTCTAAGTGACATCCGATGTCACTTCATGCCAGTGGCGTAGCCAGGGAGGGGGTGTTCAGTACCTCGCACCCGAAATCCCCCCCGGCCCCAAGAAAACCTGGCTACGCCAATGCTTCACGCGCGCGATAAAGCGCCGTCCTAGGGTGTTAAACTCAAGACGAACTGTTCTTCTGACGCGTGTTCCATCAGTCGCTCGCTGCTGATTTGTTTCACCATGAAGTGCCAGTGAGGCAAACGCTGCGGGGGCGAGTAGCATGTTTTTGTACCTGCCTACTAGTTTTCTTAGGTCCGTTAACCTGCAAATGCTTGTGTTCCCCCTACCCTATCATTCCAACAGAATCCACCGGCTGCCGGGTTACTGAAAGGGCCCTCTGCTCGGAGGACATGTTGCGGGCCCTGTGTAATGCCCTCGGCGCCTGTGCAACTTCCGGGGGTCTGCGTTTCACGGCCCCGTTACCAGCTGGGAAGTTCTCCATGGAGGTAAGATTATGAAAGAAACCACTCTGCCCTCAGAGGTAGCTTTCAGAAGTTGTGGAAGCCAAATACAGATGCTGATGTCTTTAGTAAAAACAAAATCAAATTATTACTTGCTTTATGACTTCTGCATCTCTATTTTGCAAGCCACATATGGCAGGAAAGTGTCACGTGATCTCAACCTGGTTTCTCAAGGCACTGAAAAGCTACCTGTTGCAGCCCACTGTACCATTGTCATTTATTATATGTTATTCCCTGGCACCGGGGGATTTATTTATTTATTTATTTATTTAAAAGTTCCCTCAAGGCCCGAAGGCATTACAGAGGGGAGCGGGTTACATCAATAGAATTCAACAACATACAATGAATAACAACCTATGAATGTAAAACAATATGTACATATTAGTGAAACGCTGAAATGTGAACATTGTTAAGGCAATTTTTGAAAGCAACGCTGTCAGATATTGATACCACAGACGCTGGAAGGTGGTTCCACAACACTGTAGTTCGGGGTATGAATGAATTGTGAAAAGTAGTAGTGTTACATGAAGGTACGCCCATCTTGTGTCGGTGATCAAGACGCTGTGATATGTAAAAAGGAGGTGCTAATAACTTGTCACGCAAAGTATGATTGTGGTAGTAGATTTTGTGAAACAGGCACAAACGAAAAACTTCTCTACGCGATGCAAGATTAGGCAGGTTCAAACTTGATTTCATGGATGTTACGCTGGCAGTGCGGTGATAATTAGTAAGTATGAATCGGGCGGATCTATTTTGAATTGCTTCAACTGCAGATGTTAATACGTCAGTACCGGGGTCCCAAATTGAAGAGGCATATTCTAGTTTGGTGCGAACAAGTGTTTTGTAAAGAAGTAGTTTAAGTGATAAGGGAGCTGCTGAAAAATTTCGTTTTATGAAACCCAGCATACGATTGGCGTTACTTGTTACGTATTGAATATGAGTTTCCCAGGACAGATTGGATGAAATATGAACCCCCAAATATTTGTAGGTTGTTACTTGTTGTGGTGGCCGAGGGGGCTTGCACGCACCAGCTCGAAGAATGTGGAGTGAAAGCTCGCGCTGCAGAACCCAGAATCGTGTGTTCAATCCCCACATTTGCCCGTTTCGATCTGGATGAGCACTGTATTGGCGTGCGGTCGTGTATCACAGCTACGTGATGCACGTTAAGGGCCCCAGGCTAGCGGTCATCTACAGCTGGGAGACTCATCGCCCGTTGAGGCAGATCAAGTTCGAGACTGTATAAACATACACACAACCTGATTCCTTGGCTCGCTGCTGGTATTGCTGTGCTGATGTTTGGACGTTTTTTTCTTGGTCGTTGAAATGACTACTGTGATGCTTGGGTGAAATAACCTGGTCAGTTACCTCCTCGGCCATTGAGTGTTGTTCACTTGTTACTCTCTCTTCTCCTCTGGTTAATGTAGCAGAGATAACAGTCATGCAGTTAGCCCGTTTCAAGTTCTCTCGACGCCACATTCTCACAACTCTGGCCGATCGTCCTGCTTTCGCGCAAAACTCACACACCTCGTCTTCTTTGATACTTCCGAATGCGCCTCGGTTGCCCACTCCGCCGCTAATTTCAGTCCCGTGCCCACTGTTTTATGACAACCTCCTTGACATGACAAATCTAGCTTCTGTACTGTAGAAGGGTGTGTACTTGGGCTAGTTGGTTATTCATGAATAGGAGGTAAAAGCGCTAAAAAACGACGGACAAGTTGAAGAATGACGAACACCACAGAGCGCTACGCTCTGTGGTGTTCGTCATAGCGCTCTGTGGTGTTCGTCATTCTTCAACTTGTCCGTCGTTTTTTAGCGCTTTTACCTCCTATACTAGCTTCTGTATCCAACCGTCAATACGGGTTAGTTTTCAATTTGTAAACTTGATGTTTCAAAGTAACAGTACAAGCTTCCTCCAGCATCTACCAGCAACCAAGCAATGACAAAAACCAAAGCTTTAACTTCCAAGACTAAAAACCCAGGAGTATGAGGACACGCTGGCCAACCCTGCTGAGGACAAGCCAGGATGAGGACCAGCCAGGAGTGGGACAAGCCTGTAATCTCAGTATATGGAGAGGTGTTCTCGAAGTTCCCAGCTTTAAAATTGTGGTAGTGTTTGAGTTGGTTTAAGTTCAAGGAGTCTCAAAAGAGCAAATAATGCAATGTTATTTATTTTGATTTGCATCCCTTGGATGCTGGCAGGTATTCGGTACGAAGGGAATGGAATAGAAATGTCCATTTATGCATTCTGCTGCTTAAAAAATATGGTTTCACTGATTTTCAGTTGGTAATGGCAAGGGAGGACAAATACGCTGCTCAAGAGTGTAACCGGATCGTTTGACTACTGTGACGACTCTTTTACAGGGGACGACATCCTGTCCATCACCAGCTTCACCATCTGGGACCAAGTGCACGAGGGGTCGCACTGCAAGCAGATGAAAGGAGGGCACTGCGACCTTGAGGTCAAGCTTGTACATCTACCATTACAGTCCTGAATGGATGCCAATTGGTACTGATGACCTTATGAAGGTGAAACGTCCCTGGATCTAAAGGGAAAATTTGATTGAAGGCGAGCTGAAGTTGTTTCTGACTTTATCCTCTTATGACTTGAAAGTAATCTGCCTACTTCATGAATATTGAAGATGCAGAATTTGTTTCCGTAACTGTCCCACTTTAACGTAATGTGCACATTGAAACCTGTTCCTTTTCTGCTTTCCGGCGAGAAAAAAAAGCCAACGAATCTCCCTTTTCCTTTTCGCAATGGGGAGGTGTGCAAGACTGATTACATATTTTATATAAGCAATCAGTTTCATAAGTGAATGAAGATAAAAGCAGAATACATGTTCACAGATTATTTGTGAATCCTTAGACTTGCTGAAGTGAGTAGTTTATGTTCGAGTCATGTAATTATGAAGTCAAAACCAGATTAAGTGCATTTTTAAGAAGCCTTTTAGACCTGAGAGTTCTGTTTTGACTCAGCAATACACAACTCACCTTTGTTATTCCTATAGCACAGCCGAAACTATAAACATGAGCATGTTGCCTGACCAATGCTTGAACTGCCGTGAAATCGACGAAGTCCCTATCCTTCGAGAACAAGTGTCAACGGGGAATAGTCGAAAGACCAGGGTCAAGTATGCACACACATACTTGATTTCAAGCTTGCAGATTGAAATAATTGTTTATTGAATCATATCCATTCTTAAACTGTTTGAGAATGTATTGGTTCATATTCACAGTATATTTATTTTTCATTTCAGCAAGGAATAATTTAGAGACATGTTGGTGTTCAGGCGTGATGCTTTTATTTTCGTAACATGCAAGAGGGCAAAAAATTGGATTCGGCTTTGTAAACTGATTTTTTTATGTATTCTTCCAAACAGCATAGCAAAGAATAATATAAAGGCTACAGCTGCGAGAGTTGCTACACCTGGCATCTCATTTGTTTTATAGCGTGTACAGGTGACACACTATACTCCGTTTCTCGGTAACTTGGCAAACATTGCGACCCAATAAGAGCATCGGAGCCAGGCACATGACAACACTCCACGGTCGAGTCCTCGTTATTGCCACAGCAAGAGCGCCATCTGCGACAAAACATAGTTCTATACTTCGTTTCAGCTTCGGTCCGAGCGCGGCCAATGTTATAAGCCGAAGGGCCAATCAAACAGCGCAAAAAGCGTAGCGTCATGGTGTGCTCTCTGCGCTTGATAGGACTAGCCGGCGGAGGAGCGCGCAGAGAGAGACGGCGAATAGCGGCTGGTCCTATCAACTGCAGAGAGTACGCCATGACGTTGTGCCTCTTTCGCTGTTTGATTGGCCCTTCGGCTCATAACATCTGCCGCGCTCGGACCGAAGCTGAAACGAAGTATAGGCTTTGTTTTTTCTTCTTCTTTTAGTAGTGTTGCTGTCGGATTCTTCGGACCGCAACACTACACGACACTGAAGAAAGACGAAGACATATGTTACTTATTAGCGACACTTAATATAGATCAACACTTTTTTGAGAAAAACATGGCTTGTGATTGAAGTTCAAACAATCGTAGCCGTGAATCGACCACTTGCGCTCAAAACATCGCCCTAGCATTAGCACCCGCCACAGATTCATGGGCAAATTGAGCATGTGGTTGTAAGACGATAGCCGGTTCTGGCGGGTGGTCCTTGCATTTGGCGTGGTGACACAAACGCTCCTGTGACACGCATCCATGTGTCTCGCTCCGACATTCTTACTGGGTCGCAGGAGCCGTAGCCTCCACAGTTCACCAAGCTATCGTGAAACAGAATGTAGACTAAGTTGCCTGCATGCTAATGAAAGTAGCCTTGCCAGCATCATGTATTATGTATGAAATAGTGTATACTTCGAGAAAACAAATAAAGCCATTCAACCTTTCCACTGATTGTGTTTGTTCATTAGTAAAACTTAATGCAGTGAACTTTACATTTCAGCATTAGCATGGACACAACAGGTAAGGTCAATCACAAGTGCTTTAGAGCGGTCCGAACAGTTTCCAAGTGGCTCATGCAAAGCAGCTGACACGGTATTACCCCCAGGAAAGAGACGAGACCTCCTCGACGAATCTACTTCAGCCGCAAGGCACACCAAACCGAATATTGGCGTTTCTAGGAAATTGGAATCAACCAAACAATTCCATGGAAAGGTACACCACAAACAGCATTGGTGTGAGGGTGAGCCCTATCTGCAGCGAAGCCTCGCATGCCACCATCACTAACACATGCGAGTAGTCACTCGGCGCCTGGCATACTTGGGCATTGATGAAACAAGGAAAGATTATCAATGAGTGGACTAGGAATGTGGATCCAAATGGGAATGTCTTCACAATCGCTGTATGACCACCATCTGTTGGTGTGTTTCTGGATGTCAACAGCCCATCTGGGACCTAGAAATGACAAATGATGTTAGAAGTTTGTCACTTATACACTGGCTTTTGCTTGACCCAGTCTGCTGAGCGAACAAAAATATGTACATGTTAGTCATTGTTTAGTCCCGTGTCAATTTCATGGGGCGCTCGTTAGCTAGGCTTGGATAGTGCGCGATCTCCGAATTTTATCTTGGTATGGGAACGAAAAAGACAAGCGACACGCAAAAACACGTCAGACACTGACAGCGTCGATGTGGTTCCAAGATACACTGCGCAACACATTTCGCAGAAAGGCGGCATCGGTACTTCGTCGGCAATTCACTCATACTGGCTAATGTGAAACGGCAAATTTGTACTGTCCGAGTGGGTTCACTATATTACACGTAACAGCCATTCAAATTTGACTCCTGAAAGAAAAAAAAAACGATCGCGTTTTTGCGGTAAGTTTTGAGCTCTGTGCTTTTTTGCACTGCCATGATTACAACCGTAGACTGCAACTACTATACCAAATACGATGTATGACTATACTGCGTCTCACCTAAGTGCGAACGAAGCGAAAATTACAAACGCGAGAATCTGATCAGCGCTTGTACTGCAAGATCGCACATGCATGGCAGCTATGATCAAAGCTCCGGATTCGCCCATGTGGATTTAACTTCGACCGCATTTAAAATGAAACGGAACATAGCTTATACGGCCTCCGTGCAGCTGCGAGTCGAAATGACGAGTGTATATTCCTAAATATCACCTGCGAAGATAGGCTTCGGAGGATCGCGAAAACGCTACATTCTCGGCCGTTTTTCGATTAATAGCGCCTATCGACTCCGCCACACAAGATTTATAAAGACCTGCTAGAAGGCAAAATCTGTTGTGTTCCTAAAGGAAGAGCAAGATAAAAGGCAACTTACCGGTACACTCGGGCGGCGGTCTCGTAGCGACCGGCGCAACCGGCGTTTCAATCGTGAGGCTAGGCAAGCGCCTTCTTTTTGATGCTCTTCGTCGTCTTCATCTTGGAATCTTCGAAATGCCTCTAGCAGACGACGGAGGAGTCGTAAGGGGCACAAAGCTGCTCGATCTTGTGGACTCGGCAAATTTTAACCGGGCAACAATAAATAAAAGACTCGCGGTCGCCGCTACAACACGGCCGCCATGGCCGACGCCGATGTTTGTTTACCCCCCGGCCTCCCCCGACATGTGCGAGGGCGGAGCTTAGCCGGAATCGTCATCAACCTCCTCTCCCGCCTTCGCGCCTCCTTTCTCATGCGCAGAAGACGAAAATGAGCCCACTTGCGAGGCGTATGGGAAAACTATTTATGGTACAGTAAAACCTCGTTATAACAAAGTTGAAGGAGCGGTCGTAATTTTCGTTATAACCATTAGTTTGTTATAGCCAATGCCCATTTCTTCCCACTATTAGCAAGCAAGGGGAATTATAATTGCTTTGTTATATCCATTAGTTTGTTATATCCTGTTTTGTTATAACGAGGTTTTACTGTACCAGTATGCAGACCACGCCGTTCCCTCCGACATTGGCATTTGCTGCAATGTGGGGTTACTTTATGGTTCCCAAATAGGGATTATGCAGGGCGCAAGTTCGTCTGCTTCTTGCGCAGGGGTTGCGGTGACGCCAGATTTTTTGCCGAGCTCCGATTGGTTTTGATTGGAAGGATAGTGGGTAGACCTCGAGGCAGCTGGCATTGAGGTCTACGCATATCCTTCCGGTCAGAGCCACTCAGAGCTTGGGGTTTTGGCGTCACTGCAACCACTGCGCAAGAAGCAGATGAATGTGCGCCCTGCATAAAGGCACAATGTTGTACCTCTAATTTTCAAAAATAGCGAAGCACAAAAAAAAAAAATAAACTGCTTCTTTTGCATACACGGGAAAAGACCTTATGCAGCTTGACCACCTCTTTTACAATAGAAAACATGTTCATCAGGAAAAACATTTAAAGCGACTACAGCGTCCATTCAACGACGAGCTTGACCAAACTCACCAATGGGTGGAAGGCTCGATGACTTGCCGCCGAGCTGCTTCACCAGAGCACCCAGCATGGTGCTCGAAAAGACGTCCTGTAAGTTGCAGTCCCTCGTGTGAGATGTGTGACCTCCCAAAACCACAGCCTCCCCACTGTTGGAGTTACCCCACCGCACACCAGATGGCAGCAACGCACATACCAGTGGCGCAAGAGTCTAAGGGGTCTCTTCAAGAAAGAAAACATTAGTGGTTTCATGGAACAAAAATAGGGAGTTCAGAAAATGTAAGCTCAGAATGTTCCATATATAGTGTTAGTGATTGCCTGCCATACACATGCAATGTGCTGCCTATGGCACGTTCATAGTAGAGTGTGTCTGAAGCTAGCTGTAGGAAGGAAGGGGCACAAAATGATTGTCGTGGCTCACAAACACTACTGACATGTGGCCAGTACCAAAAACCCATTCCTGAGCACCTAAGAGAGATTTCTTTCAACTATTACCGCTATTATAGGTTGGAATCTAGTCGAGCCGGTTCAAAGTATGCGTGCCCCATTGGTGCATCGTAAAATCTCGTATAGACGCTGGCCCACTGTGAAGAGATAAAGGGTGCAAAATATCGGGCAGGCGATCCTGGGAGCTCAAGACAGCAAAAGTTTATCAAAAATGAGCTATGAAAATTACCCGCAGCACTTGCCATCAACTGTGCCACTCGAAAACAAACAAGCTGCAAATCGCGGAAATAATAACAGGTTTGCGTCCCACGGTGCGGTAAACATGCAGGATCTCGCTAGAAACCTCCGTGTCACAAGAACTGATGCTGCATATCGCAGGTGCAGCAGATCCACATTTCACGGTGGGACACACAGACGGGAATTTTTAGCCCATGGATATTTAGCCAAAAAGAAAAAATGGCCGATCAATCGGTGTAGGGCTTTGTACGGAATTTCGCGGTGTCTACTAATCAATCCACCCAACGAGTCATGACATTTCAGGTAAGGAGGGATCTTGGAACTTGCGCACCCAGCTGAGAGCAAGCTTCAGAGTGCTCAAAGTGCATGGCGGTGGTGCTAGCACTGACCACATGTTTCTCAAATAAACAAAAGTGGTACGACGATACTGGAGTAAATACCTTGAGGGCACCTTCAGTTGCCAGCAACTTCGTGTCTACAACGGCAGGGAAGGTGGCCTTTACCATGCTCTTGAACTCTTGGTAGTCCTGCAGTCAATTACAGTAGAGCATGGCAAAATCGTTTTTTACAATTCTAGTCTCACCCAAAAGGGTTACCATATGTTGAAATATGTTTCACAATATTCTGAAAGGGGCCAACATTGTTATTACCAGTCAGTCTTGTGATCTCTGGTTAATAAAGTATCAAACTTTAAAAATGTTATTCAGATGCAAGTTCCATGATCCAGAGGCACCAAGAGAAAACGGAAGAAAGAAAGAATGTTAGGAAACGCTTAAAAACAGCCTGGCCACGTGACTTTGAGTGGCTGTAACTAAATCAATGTGCATTTTCTGGGAGAAACAATTAGAAAATATGTATGTATAGTATGCAACTTTAAATGGATATTAGGTACTAAATAAATGCACACTTTCTAAATGAAACAATTAAGAAACATGTGCTGCCAGGCCTCGCAGACAATATGAGCTTACGATTAACAAAGCATGCGGGTCTAGTTTACCATATAACTTAGAAGCGGCTACCAATCACTGCCGTTTAGGGAGAGAGGCCCACCAATGGCGAGGTGCCGAGAACAATTAAATCCCAGCACAAATCAGATTTCTGCACCAGAAAGCTACTATCAGTACCTCGTCACTCTCTGCTAACCGTCTGCAAACGGCAATGATAGGCCTCCACATGCCTCGCAGGAAAGCGGATACAGGGGAAAGTTCACACCACCATAAATTCGAAGATAATCTTGAAACAAAAATGAGAAAGGGGGCTTGTAAGGCCCAAGAGCAAATATTTGGAAGGAACACACGATGGAGAGGGCCTCTCGCCAGCTTGCACGCATCAAGCTTCACCGCCTTGCGCCGGTGCGCGGGCGTCAAGCTTCACTGCTTTGCGTCGGCGTGCTCGGGGAAGCAGCTGACACGGGGGAACATCTCGGTTACCTGCAGTCGGTGCAGAGTTAATAATGCGGCAGATTCTCCGCATGCCGATTGGGGTCTCCCTTCAATAACACTTTGTTGCAGGTACAACCAATGTCGGGCGAAAGGCAACAAGTGCACGCTGGACTGCATTCTCAACATGCCACTATGGGAAAAATTAAACCTGGAGGTTTCGTGTGCCGAACCAAAAAGGGGGGCACATGGTGGAGGACTAAGGATTCCTTTTGGACCACTTGGGGATCTCTCGATGTGCAACCGAAATCTCGGTTACACGGCCTCCTTCACCACAAGCCTCCGTAAGACTGCAAGGACCTCGGACAAGGTTCAAACCTACCGGTTTTGCGCCAACTAGACTCTCCAACATTGGGACACTGCGGTCGCACTGCCATCGGCACTGTGCCTGAGCAGAGGCTTTATCTAGCACGAATCTACGAGTTGAGTCAAAGGAATCGATGGCGGTCTGAAGGGATCGCATAAATCGGCTCCTTAGCTTATCGTGCTAGGATTTACTACAGAGGTGCTCCAAGCTGGTGTATTCATCTATTGAGAGTATGAATACATGAAACCTCCGAAGTCGAAAGAAAGAAAATAAAAACTGTTTTTGTCTATGGAAAAATTATTGCTAAGCCATTTTTCTTAAAAGCTTTAGAATATCGTTCTGGGCTGTTCCAGCGTTTATTACGACTGAAAATGGCAAAATGAAAAGAAAATACAATTTGCTGATCTATTTTTCACTTTAATTGGCCCAAATAAGCGTCACAGTGACGCAAAATGTTTTTTAAGTGTACATGCAAAGTATGGGGAAAACATAGGTTTTGATTTTTCGCGATTTACTCGGGTGAGCTAATCTTTCCACAATTTTAGCGAAGGCTTTCCTCACCTTCGGGCCCCTCTGTAGTAAATCCTAGCAGGATGCGTTAAAAAACTGATTTATGCAATCTTTCCAAACAGCCATCGATCCCTTTGACTCGAACGGTGGTTTCTGAACATGTGCGGTGCCCACACCTGGCATGGGCAAATGCAGCTTCTTTGTAAACCGCGTGTTGGTGTATAGGTAGGCTCAAGAGTTGGGGCTGGATGCACGTCCGGTTTTTTAAGATAGTTTTTGACTTGGAGACGCAAAACGTTTTCTAAATAACTGCTTCTTCCTTTGGTAATTTACGCCTTTTAAGACCGGCACGTCCCCTCGGGGCAGCACTGAAGGGAAGGCAACTCTGACCTTGGGCAGGTCGTCCACGAACTGGGAGAGGAGGTGCACGACGTCCAGCACCATGTTGTGGCCCACCACCAGCTTGCCGCTCTGCGCCACCACCTCCAGCAGGCGGCCGAAGCCATGCGCCTTTTCCAGGTCTGCCTGCGCCCAAAAGACCGACCTCCGAAGTTGCACGTCGAGTCGACGAGGACAAACCGGTTGCCAAGTCTAGTTTCAAGTAGTACACTAAATGAACACTAAACTAAACTGTTGTTCCTTTTTTTCTTTTCATGTTTGGCGGTATGTACGAGCATGCGATGAAAACAATATTTCATCTTGCGCTGTCATTTCTTGATCGCACCTCTTTTTTGTTTTGTTTAGCTGACCTTCATTTCGGCATGCTCCTCTGTTGTCACGGTATAACAAACCGACGTTGTTCAGCTTTCCGCTGAGTGGCGGACGCCGAGATGTAAAAGTTATTAATGAACTCTGTGTTCGACGACCATTAAAACAAAGAGGTGACGCTTCCGATTAAAAAAAGAAAGGCCGAGTAAGGCCCCTCAAAATAGTAACCTCGGGGTGCGAGGTCGAGGAGCCACTGCATAGCCACGCCTCGAAAAGTACAATACAAGAAATATGATACAGGCACGCAGACATTGATCGACCTTTTGCCAGTAAAATTAAACATCTTTTATAAATAAATATTCTTCGCAGAGCATGCCGCAGTGCTACCGAGATTAAAATTTGCTTTCGGCGTGCAGGTAGAAATTACCAGTTTTCAAAGCAAAGAGATGTTAAAGGGGCGGTGAAACAATTTGCGGACTTCGGCTCATTAATTGCGGGAATTGACCCCGCCACATATGAAACGAAGGACCGAAAACTATTCTTTCCTGCTTGCCCTAGTTTTCATTAAAAAAATAAAAGAAATTGGTATCTCTGGCACCCCTCAACTCAACATTGAGGCAGCACCAGCTTCGCCTGTGACGTCATTCGGAGTGGCGTTGGTTTCCGGTTGGGTGCTTCTCGCTTCCGTTTCCCCAGCGCTCGCCAGGCTCGCCGCTCTCCCGTCGATTCCCGACCAACATGGCGGCATGGGCGGACGGCCTGAGCAACGTCGAGCGCAAGATGTTTGCGCTCGACATCAGTTGGACTTGTGCGGCGGGCAGTCGACGCGGCGGGCAGTCAAAGTCGAGGTCGACACACCAGGAACAATAACGATACCATGATACTACGGACCACGACCAACGCACTCCGTCGAGCGAGGGAAAGACAAAACGTCCGGGTTGCACGTGTAGCCGCAGTAGGCGCCTCGGGCGTCGACGGATGACGGCGACGGCAGGTTTGGTTGACTTGGGGTAGATGGCGCCACAAATCTTTTAGCGGCAATATTAGGCTTTTGAAGCGTTTCTGCATGCCTAAACAACAAGATTTTTTAAACTTAACCTTAAATCAAGCTTACAATTGCCTAACACTATCACTTACAAAAACCACTCCGAATGACGTCGCACCACAGGTTCCATTTGCGGCCACCATGTGGCCGCAGGTTGGGAAAAAAAGTGTTTTTTATTTTGCGATTACGCAGCGAAATAGAGCTATTTTGGGGTATGGTGGCACTTTTTCTCTTACTTATGCCGAAGTAAACAATATAAAAAATACAAGCTGCACATTCGTTCAGTGTTAAAATCATTGCACCGCCCCTTAAACACGCTAAGAAAAAGTTACCAATTTGTTTTCCATACGAAACACTATGGCAGGTAACAGTAGAAGTCTGTCTCTAACACGCAATCGTTGCATTCCGCCGAACTTTGGCTGCGCACGCGACAAAGTGTTCATTGAAGGCAGAAAGATTGTGCTCGAGGCAGAGCAACCACTGGCGTTCATAACCTGTCACCAACTGTATCCGACCCGCGCGAGTTTCTGGAAGTAGCTCCTCAAACCAACGCACTCAAAATTTAGACGCAAGTCGCGCGTGTGTTAATTTACGGCTAGTATAACTCAAACCCCCCCACTTCTTGCTCCAGTGTGCATCATAATGTCATGGGTGAAAAATGAAAAACGAACGTAAAACCAAACAAATTTTCGGTCCCCCTCAAGTTTGAATTAACGAGATTCGACTGTACATGCGCCGAGTTTGGAAAGACTCCAAACCGGAAAGCTCGACGACGAACGAGGATTGGCCGGAACTTTCCGGAAGAATACAGAATAATAAAACACGGAACCGGGTCAGGAGGAATTCAAACCCTGCCCCTGCCACTGCCCCTGCCCCCCCCCCCCCTCCCTTGGGGTCGGCAACGTCGTTCACCCTCTGCAAGCTTCCGAACTTTGGTGCACAGCTTAAAAAATCGAGCATCACGCACTCGTCGTTCAGGAGGTGTTGGTCAAATCCTCGCACCCCTCCCCCAGTGTGCGTCCCATCGCCAACAAATTTCACGAGCGTCCAAGCCGCTCCGTCGAGAAAATGTAGAGGAGGGAGGCAATTTCCCGGCTCTTGTTCAAGGTGGCTGGCAACTCCGTGCCTGATAGGTATAAATGTAATAAGCTGACGGTGTGAAGCTAATGGAGAATCAAATAAAAGGAACACCGGATGAAAAGGAATCTGGTCCCATCCTAGGGAGTAGGTGTCTCCCATGTGTGGGTACTTTGGGCACGAGTAGATGTGTAGAGTAGAGAGTGTGGTGTGGCAGATACAGTATAGAACACTTACAACGTAACCGCTTATAGTGCAGGACCGGGTATAACGCGGTTTTTTAAACCACCGGTTCACCTACCATAGAACTCCATGTATTTATATACCGCTTAAAATGCAGGCGCGCGAAGGGAAATACCGGTTATGGTGCGGTTTTTGGCACAGCCCGCCGACCGCGCCGACGACCGGAGCAGCGAGCTCGCTTCCCTGTGCGACACTAGATAACGGCGCTGACGGCGCGAGCCGCAAACTGCACTCGCGGGGCATGGAGGTTGCTCGAAAACTCGGGGAGAAGCGAAGAGAGAGGCTTCAGTTGCCATAGCGACGGAGGGACGCACGCACGAGTCGTTCACGTGCGTGCGTCTCTCCGCTGCGTTGGAAACAAAGAAACAAACAACCGCAACGACAGACCAATCGCAGGTCGAGGAGAAGTATCAGCGCGCGTTGCATGCCATTCCGCGAACATGGCGTCGGTTGTGATCGTCGTCGTAGACGGCGTACATCTCATCGTTCTGCGTAAAAGCGCTATCCTTGACTCTGAATTTTCGTTGTGTGTCGCTATGATAACCCAGCACGTACTAGAAGGGAAGATCCACCTACTCGTGCGGCGATGTCGTGGCGGCGCTCTCAAGACGGCAGAAACGCCCGTGTCGTCGTGTTTGTTTACTTCGACTACAGTGGTGATTTCTAAGCATTTGTGTCCTCGAACATCGCCCGGATTTCTTATTTGGCGCATTTCATGCGTGTGCTCAAGTTCAAAGTATTACTGGCTAGTACCGTATGAAGGATGCGAATTTTCACGCGTTTTCATCTCCGGAGAAAAGTGATTAGGGTTAGCAATCCTGAACGCTCGCAACGTCCGTCCGCAACCCGCGACGCCGTTAAAAGGCTGCGCCAGGCAAAAGCCGCTAATTTCTTTTAAAATGTGTGACACACTTGAGACATAACTGTACTCGTCTATTGAAATAAAGACTTTCCTCAAACTAAGCTTATTTTTTCATCTAACATAAAATAAATTCTTTTACAAAGGTAAGTTGTATCATGGCATGTATTTTGGCCTGAAAAATTGATGTTTTGGTTATAGTGTGGTACCGCTTATAGTGCGGATTTTCGCGACTCCCGAGACATACGTTATATGCGGTCTACACTGTATCACTAACTGGGGGTTCGGAGCGATTCAACGAGTAACCGTGAGTAAGGCGTGTACAGTCACCGACCGATTTTTCAGACTCGAAGGGGAATCCAAAATCGTCCGAATAATCAAGCGGTTCAAAAAATCGATTTTAGCCCCCCCCACCCCCAGAATATCAAATTTCCACTACGTACTCGCCACTTTCCACCTGCCTGGTGCCAATTTTAAGCTCTCATGCAGCTTCTGCTTCATATTGTTCATTTTTCACTTGTTTGTTGATCTGTTTGATCATGGTGCTGCGCTTTGTAGGCGCCTTCGTTGGCACAAACACCCAAGGTGGCGCTATTGGTCGACAATGTTTAGTCCACCAAGCTCGCTTCAATACTAAGCCTATCGAAAAAAAAACCTCGCACTCAAAGACCACAAAAACGGCAGACGGCCGCTCTTCTCGTGGTCACATTCGAAAAACAGGGACCACGAGAAAAACTGGAAGAGCAATAAGAATGGGCAGACGGTGGCCATGTTGGCTATAGTGGAACCGGAAAACGTGACTATAGCCTCAACCCAGCTTGTTTACTGCTTAGCACATGGTATCGAGGCTACAGGGCAAAATCAAAACTACCAAAATGGCGGTGACTAAGCTTGCGGCGCTATCGCGGCGGGTGTTTTGTGGCTGTAAACTGAGGAAATCCTGCAAATTATGTCAGAAATATTGAGCACTAAGCTTCATGGCGTCCGAAATTTTGGTCGATGTTATACATGAACTCTATGGGGTGAGTGACGGTTCGGCAAAAACGTCTGAATAATCGGACACGTCCAAAAAATCAGTCCGAAAAATCGGTCGGCGACTGTATGATCAACACGAAGGCGAGTCAAGAGGACATTTTCACGACGCGATAGATTATCTGAAGACGGCCAGCGGTATGTATGAGGTTTGATTGTATAGAGTTTGTTCTGGGTTTTCTGTTTCCATAACAGATTCCGTTGTGTCAGCATATGTTTGTGAGCTAAGTCTTTCAGGTCCGTCCTAGGAATTCTTATTGAGGTAATGTGAAGAGCTTGAGGATTTCACGCAGAGGCATCAGCATTTTCATTCCCTGGGATCTGCAGCTGGCACCCAGCAAAAAAACTAAATGTATGTCCCTTGAGTCGAGTGCTAAGAGAAGTCTTTTAATCTCTGTGATGAGTGGGTGGACTTGGGCTTAAACACTTGATAATGCCTGTACAATACTTTGCGAATCTGAGCATATGATGATATTTTTAATGTGCCTGCCCTGCGCTTCAAGCAGAGCAAAAGCTCCTGCTGTGAAAATAGAAACAATGTGTGGAAGTCTATACTGACCAGTTTTCAGCCCAGTAGTGAATGCACACCCTACGTTCTCCTTACTTTTGGACCCATCTGTGTATATTTCCAAAAAAATCTTTGTAACCTACTATCATTTCGTTAAAAGTCTGTCGCTAACACTGAAATGCTCGGCATAGTCTATTTTTTAGACTGCCCGCTCGACCGGTAAGCCTGCCTGCTATTGACGTCACCGCACTGAAAAGTGAGGGTGCGTTCCAATGTTGGTTCTTGCATCATTTTCATTTGCAGATTTCACAATAAATATTCTGAATTTCACAATACTATATAAAATGCCGGAAAGGCTAAAGGTCAAGGATTCAAAAAAGTCTCAAAATAAATGGTTGCCAAAAAAATTAATTCTTTAGCCTAATATTTATGCTACAATATGAATTTTTCAATTTGTGGGCGAAACCGAAACTGTGCACCTGTGTGATGATGGTGATAGCGTTTGTACTCAGCTTGTGTGCGCTCTAGAGTTCATTCGACCTCAGAGCACACTCTAGTTGGGTACAAACGCTATTATCATCATCCTACTGGGATACAGTTTTGGTTTCACCCGCATATCGAAATATTCATACTGTTTTTCCCTATGTTCAGTGTTTTTTTAAGAACTGACCCTACAAACGCGATAGAAGCAACGCAGCAGTGAACGACCACAAATGATACCACGGTGCCGCCCCTCACCATCTCCTTGCGCTGCTTCTCTTCGAGCAGCGCCGCCTGCTGCGAGGCCGGCCCCGCAAGTCTCACAACGACATGGCGCGCACCGCCGACCGACGCCTGGGTTTCCATGACGACCGCCTCGCCAAAGCGCGCCTTGACCTCCTGGTAGATGAGCTTGCGCCGAAAGGGGTCGCACTCGGCCAGATGGAGCGCCCCGTCCCCCTCGTCACCTTTGGTGCCTCCCTCCTCGCCCTCCTTCGGAGGAGCAGACGGCGTGTCTTGGTCGTCTGCTGCCTTGAGAAACCGCTCAACGGATTCCCTGCAGCAGTCAGATCGAAGCATGTCGACGTCATACCCTTCACGAAACACCTGGTGAAGGCGACGCTACTTTGTAACGGGTAATTCGTAGTAGGGCTTGTGTTTACCAGACGAGCGCGTCGTTACAGAAGAGTTCAAGAAAAAAGGACATCACATGGTCTCTATGGTTACTGAGAAGTTAAAAAGGCCTCGAGGAGGTTTTTGAGATCGCCCAAATATGGCAAGAACTCACTCTGCGGGCTTAGAGCATGCTAGAATGCCTAAATCACAATCATGTGCGACCGATTTCCCAATTAAAAGTTCCCTATTAAAAGAGCAATAAAAAATCGCAACAACCAGAAATCATCTTGGGCGATGGGAGGATTATGTTCCGGCAGCCAGGACGACGTGTAACCAATGAATGCAACATTTTGCATAAATTCTAAACACCGTTATACCAAAATGCGTATTGTTTTGTAGACGATAGGAGCAAATAAGAGTATGAGACAAATGTTAATTTTTCAAGGAGGGAACATAATACTGCTATAATTAAAAAACAATGCATTATTTTTTTTTGGTCTTTTGTGAGAGTAATCTGTCCGGTTGTCTGATAGTTTGCTCTCGAGTACGTGCTCGGTGGGCTAAGTGATTCAGGTTAGCGAGAGCCATGGCGTGATGGCACACGACTGACTTTTTCTGCTACGACAATATGACCCACTAAAAAAACTCGCCAAAGTCCGGTTGCCCAGGCAACGAGCCGCGTGCATTCGAAATATCGCTCCGCAGGTCCACCGGTCGGAGATGCGAGGATCCTTCGCTTGCTATCGGCCAACAGTGGTCCTGGTTTCAGAACATGCTTCTCCCATCACCTGAGATGACCTCCGTGTGCTGCGATCTTTGATTGCCTTTTTAATAGGGAAATTGACCACGTATTGTCACGATCTAGGGTTTGATAGTCTGATAGTCTGCTCGTGTTGTCTCTGGGACTTGGCCTAGGCTAGGCCTAGTGGTCCAAAGCTTGGTTCACGAGTCTCTGGAACTTTAAACTTTCGTTCGCTCGGCACGTGTTTGCTTGAATAAAGTCGACTACCATCTCATTTTGCACGTTTTACATCCTTTTGCGGCAAAACACTCGGCTGCCCCCGACAGACAGCGCCATGCTATGGGCATTTCTCGAGAGTCAAAACGTCAAAGATGCACGTCAAACGGTACATGTGATCTAGTCAATTGTGCGAAACTCAAATTTCGCGATACTGATTAGCGAAAAACAAAAAAGCTCATCGCGTGAACCGTGCAAAGAAGTGCAACTCACACAAAGATGCGACTTATAGACCAACCAAACGGCTCTATATACGGATGTGCGACTGATACAGGGGTGCGACTTATAGTCCGGAAAATACGATACACATACAAGGCTCCGACTGTCAACCAAATATTGCATTCCCATTTCCATTTCTAGGCATGTGCAAATAGCAGATATCGAGTTCAATGTGAACAGTGGTTTTGGCCGAATATTTTCTAATCGAATGTCGAACAGTTCCTCCGAGCCTTTTACTACCGTGCACGGGGCTTAGGCGAAATTCGGCTGAACTTGTAAAGGGTGTTCCCAACCTCCCACTTGTGCACTCCTAAGCTTAATTAATTTTAATATAACTATTAGATATATTTATGACCTGTGTTATGTGAAAAAACCTATTTGTCAGAGCCATCCTAATTGAGGGGATTTATAAATCTGCTGGCTATATAAAAATATTCTTTCTTCAATTTTAAATATAAAAAAAAAACAAAAAAAACAAGCACGAACGGTGAACAAAGTTTGTCAAGACATGACTTCCAAACATATACTATTGCACAATTGTGGTGGGTTAGCCCCGCTGAGTGAACTCCTCACCGAGCACCTGTGCGCCGCAGGGAAGCAACAACCGCAAAACTTGCAAGCTCCGCTGGTATTGCTTCCCCATAGTGCACAAAGGCTCGGTGAGAAGCGCACTTAACAGGTCTAAGCTGCCACGATCAACACTTAGAAAAATATGAATATCGCAGCTCGTCTTGAAGTGACTATGGAATAGTGCACTATTCAAAAGTTTGAATATTTGCACAACACTTTTTTCGTAAATACTAAAATATTCAGTTGACAATCAGTTCCTCGTGCGTGTGCTCTGTATCTTGTGTCCTTCGTCTATGTTTCTAACAATTGTGTTGTGTGTATGTTTGGACAGCCTGAACTTAGTCGGCCCCAATGGGCGTCTGGTGTCTCGGCAATAGACGAGAAATTTAGCCAGTGCAGTACGATTGCTAGCCCGGCGTCTTTAACATGCATCACGCAGTAGTGAAAACACAACCGCACACCGGTACGTTGCTCGTCCAGATCGAAACGGGCAGGGGTGGGGGCTGAACCCAGGCTCCATGGATCCTGCAGCGCGAGTTTTCGCTCCACTCGCTCCGAGCTGCGGTGTGCTTCCCGCCTATTTTAGGGTTGTTTGACCTTTTTCTAAGCCATCTCTAAATTTGTACAAACGTGCACAAAGATTCTGTGGGAGCCTCACAGCACGTCGTCAACAAATGGCTGAATCTCCTTGGGAACGGCTGCCTTGGGCCGGTTCCCTTCGGCGTTGGCGCCGTTCTGTGCCAGGGCTTCCATCTGGACAGCGTGCCGCTCTTCGAGGGCCTTGCTCAGACGCTCCACCTCTGCGGGCTTCAGGTATGGAATGCCTGCAACGCCAACCAAGCAACTGCTGAGAGGGAACGGTCTTCTTTAAATCCCACCGCTGCCACCGTGTTAAGTTAGACGGTGGACAAGAAAGAAACTATTCTCCCTCGTTCGTCATCTCCTTCGAGCCACCCCCTCCACCATTCTAAAGGTGTGATGGCTGGAGCATCACATAGCTTACTGGAAGCTAGAAGACACCAAATAGGAAATGTTATGAATGCCGCCTATTCGCTGAGGTCTCTGGTGTAGATGAGGATGTGGAAAACGACAATGGCAACACCTTTAGCATTTACTTGTAAATAGGCACTCACCCGAAGGTACTGCAGATATCAGCAAACGGTGGCACACAAGAGAATGTTCGGCGCTGCTTAAGTGCCAGATTAGGAAGTGTTAGAATAGCACACCTGAGCACTTGGTGCACCTAAAGAAACAGTGCCGTCGTCACGGTGCATGCAACAAACGAAAATTGCAAGTTGGATGTGCGTGCTATTTTCCCGAAGTCGTGTGGGCAGCCAAAATAAAAATTTAATTGTACTGCCTCGGTTGGCTGTGAGAAAGCATACAACAAACCAGGTCGATAAATCAGGTGGTCTAAAGCCATTAAAACAAATTAAACAAAATAATGACGCAAAATATTCTGCTCTATGGCCACAACGGGGAAAGCGATGCAGGCTCACCATGAGCAAAGAGCTTGTTGAAGTCGAAGCCGTGTTGGGACAGAAACTGTAGGCTGCTGGCCTGGGGGCAACCCAACGAGACAAGCGGTGAGAAAGACAGCGTTCCAGAACTGTTTTATAAATCGGCTGGTCAAACAGAATGAAGTGAAGTGCAGATAATACTATAGCATCCCTTAAGAAAACCCGCACTGGTTTTCTGTCCAACTTGCCATTATTAAAAAAGCACGAAAAAGAAAGCTGACTCCTCAAATTCGTATTACCTGAGATGAAGACAATTTATCTGAAGAAATGGACAATTCTAATACTGACAGCAAATTCAACTACCAATCTTTAAAAAAATGTATGGCAAACTGCTAGGCATCTGCGGTGCATACGTGAAACATTCTAACATCACGAACGTTTATATCATTATTTAGCAGGATGTCAGCCAGACACCTACATTCAAGGCGCACTTTATCGGATAATCTAACGCGTGACATGTGAACACTTGAAATTATAAAGCTGGTGTGATCTTCCAGAACCTTCTAACCCAGTCCTCCTCCCCAACTCACCTCCTTACCCCATCCCGAACTCCCCAATAACCAATCAACGTCGAGCACTTCACTCCTTTTCTCCCACCCGGCAACCAATCAGTGTTGAGCCTTGCAGCTACGCTTTTATGCAGGCTTCACGAAATGCCAAACACCTAGCCAAAAAATGGTTCATGTTAAAAACAATTTGCTCTTTTAATGGGAGATCTTACCATTGTATCCTTGGTGCAACTAGGGTCGCAAATGACACCGCAACTTAAAGTCCATGACGCAATCCCCAAAATCAGTAACCACAGAGAGCAGACGCACGAGTGTACAAGATCTCGCCTCTCTTTCTAGTTTTCCAAGCCACCCAGTGCAACATCCGTTTAGGAATAAGGACTATTACATTTATTAATCTTTCTATTATTCTCGTTTCCCACCTGGCAACGGAAGATGCGGTCAGGTGATCCTCGCAGCATCTGCCGTGGACAGGTGAAGAAGTTGAAGGCGCGGCAGAGGTACCTGTCATCCGTTGCAGTATGAGTAAAAGCAACAAGCAAAGGAAAAACCAGCAATGAGTCAAGGCATCAGCTGGAAAGGGTCCGCAAAGTGTGCACCCTTGTAATTTCAGAACTAACCTCTTGTGAAATACCAAATTACCCCAGAGACGTTATTAAAAAGAAAGGAAGTCTGTCTGGAAAGATAAGCGTTCTCTCGAGCATTCTGTTCTAACGTTATGGTGTCCAGAAACTCAACACTGTTTGCTTAAACATTGACTGGAATGTGAGTGACATTCTTTCGGACCCAATCAGTTGCCAAGATTATGGTACAACCGCCGCAGCTGCTACAAATGGGAAACAATGTCACATTGAGGGTATTTGGTACAAAAAGCTCCAGCACAGCGGAATTTGTCTTCTCGTGGCGACGGTGTTCAAAACTAAGAAAATTTCCCGAGATCTAATAATTAAGTTTCATTTTTAAGGGAAAATATAAATCCCTGGTAATCTAGGAAATCGTTTGTTCCTTTTTTTCCAAAGGGCACTCATTGCAGACGTTATAGAAATGAGCACACGACAAAGACAATTCAGATTTTTTACTTTAAAAATTATGCTTTACCACTCATGTGGCCAAAATGTGGACTCACTGCTGTTTTAGGATCGTAATGCTAGTACTCCTTTGAAAAAAAAAAAAATGACAAAAACAGCACAAGAATAAAGACTTTGACGAGCGTGTTGGGACAGATGTAACAGTAAGAATGTCCCGTCCCAGCCCCCTGCCCCCGCACCCATCGTACGACCCCGCCCGCCCCTTATCCCACATTCAGCCCCCATCATCTTCGTTTGAACCTACTACGTTCCTCCGTGCCGCCATGCTCATTTCAAGGCAAACCCTCCTCAAGCTGCGCCTCCGGACATTGGGTCTGTGCGTCCGCAAGAATGTTGTGCACCCCTCGGTGTTCCAAGCCAACGGCTTCCACTCCCACAACTGGTCATCAGGTCACAGGATCATGCAGATATCACGCAAAGAATTGTCTGAAGAGCTCCGACTGACAGCGACTGTTCTTCCGGGATTTATGACATCGTGCTTCGGACCATCCTACGGCAAGCACACGTCGTTTATCTTTCTTCAAGAAGCCGCTGCGCAGCTCTTGGAGTCATCCTGGAGGAATGTAATTGCGGGGGTGGCCACCTCAAGCCGGGCTAACACGAGCTCAGGATTTGATCCGCCAATTAATATTTCCGGAGTCGAGCTCTCTGAGAACACCAAGACCGCCCTTTCATGTGGCCCCAAGTTTGCACCGGACTCCCAGGTGTCGAGAATCGATCAGCTGGCTGCGGTGCATCAGGAGGCATCAACGGTTCCAGAAAAAGAACGCCACGAGTTCCTGGGAGCAGCGGTGCGATCCGTGTGCGCCCACCCTGTGCCGGCGCCCTCCATCAAGTTCTCCGTCAAGTCAGCTGTGGATGAACTCCGATCTTCAGACCTCAAGCTTCTTGAGGCCGACAAGACTGGAGGTTTCGTCGTCATGGGAGAGGACCAGTACCGGCAGAGGGTAGAACAAGCTCTTGACAAAAACTTTCGTCGAGTAAAAGGGCGGCCTTTGGGGTCTGTTCGGTCCAGAGTTAAAGAGCTGTGTTCCGAGCTTAATCTCCCGAAACTCAAAAGTTCCGTCATGAAACCATCCAAGCAGTACTTATCCCTGTTCTTCTCAGCGAAGACTCACAAACCGGAATTACCCTTCCGCTCCATTGTTTCGGAAGGCGGAAGCTGGCAGAAGCCCCTTGCGCTTTTTCTCCAAAAACACCTCTCCCTTCTCACCCCTTCCCAGCCGTTCCGAATTCGTAACTCTAACGAGCTAATTACGGTTTTGACCCCCCTACATAACGCGCCCGTTCCACTGTCAGTGTTTTCTTACGACATTGAGGATATGTACTATAGTTTAGACATTCCTTTCCTAATTAAGTGCGTTAATGAGGCCATCAATGAGTTCGGCCTGTGCAGGTTCCAGAACGCTTCAGGCATTCCACTGTCTGGGTTTATCCAGTTGCTCCAGCTTTACCTCCGCTCTACAATGATTGAGCAGAACGGAGAAGTGTTTATTCAAAAATCAGGTATATGCATTGGGTTTTGCCTGGCACCAGTGCTGAGTGAAATCTATCTTTCCTTCGTTGATGGGACAATCGACGAGGAACTGCGGAGCATCGTGCCCGGGAGTCAGGTAGTGCGCTATGTGGATGACTATCTTGTAATTCACCACACAGGAACCCCGGTCCATTCTATTTCGCCTTGTTTTCTCAGCGCGGCAGGCAGCCTCAACTTTAAGAGAGAGGACCCCACGGAGGAGGGACTGCAGTACTTAGACATTAGGTTGAATATGACAGCGACGGGTATCTGCTGGGCGTTTCGGCAACGTTCGGAGAAACCAATTCTTCCCTTTTCCAGCTCCCATTCCAGGTCCGTTAAGACGGGGGTGGTCACTTCGTTGATCTCCTCTACACGCAGCAGGTCGTGCAGTCACCACTCAACCTCGAGTGTGAAAACACAATTTAACCGCCTTCTCAAGGCAGGTTACCCGATGGACCTACTCAGTTCTGCCACGCAGAGGCTCATCGTAAATCGAACTCCCCAAACTTCACGAGCTGCTCCGGGCGGGGGGATCGCCTGCATTCCCTACATGCATAACGTGGCGCACTGCGTCAAGTCTCTCGCGTCCCGCTTTGGCACCAAGGTCATTTTCAAATGCAGGTTCAAACTGGGTTCCATCTGCAAACTGGTTAACAACGCCAGTTGCCCCCCAGCATGTGCAAAAAAACACGGCTCTCAATTCGTTCAATGCGCAAAAGAAAAAGTCTACTCGATTCCTTTGACCTGCGGTGCGGAATATATCGGCCAAACGGGCCGATGCATAAATGATCGCCTCCGAGAACACCACATTGAATGCGCGTCACAGCCAGAGGGGTCATTGCATCCTATTATAGTTCACGGTAAGGAGTGCCAGGCATGCACGCCTTTGTTCAACGAGACTAAAGTAGTTGGGGGGCACCGGGAGCGCTATGGGAGGGAGATAATTGAAGCTTATAGGATGACTACCACCAAGAATAACATTGCTTCCCCATCCCTCTCGCTGACAAAACCAGAACTGGTGTTTCTGGGGCTGGCGTTTTCTTGGATTCCAATTGCACAACCTTGAACAAGACCCCCCCTCGGCCTCCGGCCGTCAATCCGCTTTGTATGCGGAAACGCTATCTTCCCTTCCCTCCCCCTTTTCTTCCCCCTCAACCTTCTCCCCCTTCTTTTCTCCCTCTCGCTCGTTCCCCCCTTCCCCACCGACGGTTGTTGGTGCAGACTTCGCTGGCGTCAAATATATGTTGTTGTAAACTGAAAGCTTGTACATGTCTGTTTTTGTCCCTCTGTTTGTTTTGTGCTTTCTTACTGTTACAGCACAAGAATACTTGCGAAAACTGCCAAAATCAAGACTGAAACCACAAGCATGTCACAATAAACACATCTTTCATCTCGTTTGGTGCAACCTGCACAACTAGTTCACAGGCTGTTTAACCAACCTAGGGTCAATAAATCATCTGTTTGAACTAGAACTTGGTTAGAATTGCCCAAGGTACCCTGCAATGTGCTAAAATTATAAAACTAGACTTCAAGAAGATTACATCCAAGTACCATTAAACACTGCATAATAGTCAGAGCTGTAATTAGCACAGTAAACCACCATTCCCACCAAAACTATACTTACATACCTGCCAAAACCAAGTTTCCATGCTGAAACTATGTATTGGGAAGTCTGTCAAGAACTTTGGCAACTCACCCAGATTTCTCCTTGTCATACTGGAATGTGCATAGACCAACTTGGATCACGAGAAACTCCTGGGAGAACTATACACACAGAGAGAAAAAAAGAAAGATTAGCGAAATATAAAATAAATTTCTTACATTTTGCGGCGATTCAATTCAAGCATACTCCACGAGATGAAAACCGTGAGAACATTTATCGCGTGACTCGAGATATTTATCACGTGACTAGAGTTCTGACAGTTATCAATATACAGATCTCACGAACTGGCTTAACACCTACAGCAAATCTTCACTTGCACCAGGTGGCCTTTGCTGATTTCACATGCAAACCCCAACACATTTCTTTTCAGAGTTTCTGCTCAAATAGATGCCAGTTTGATGGCATTGAAATTCAAATGAATGCTCTGGAAGCTCGCTTTAGCAATTGCTCAGCAATACTAAAGAAAATGTGTGAGACACTCCGTCTTCCAAACAGCCTGCTCATGCCTAATGGTGACACTGTGCCACTGGAAAGAGCGAAAAAATTTGAATGCTGGATTTTGGCATTGCCATCTTTTAAACTTTTGGTGAATTGCCAGAAGAGTAGGTCATTGGTGGATACTCTGCCATTCTTTCTTTGTTGTAAATGTCAATACGGCCTACATCTTGCACAATTAACCCTTTAACTGGGGAGCGTGTCTTTAGACGCGTGTCAATTTTGACCGCAGCTTGAGGGGCGCATCTACAGATGCGCTGTGCTTTCTTGGCTGTTAAGATGTGTGTCTTTAAATGCTCGCTCGTTTTAGCACGTGGGGAGGGTGTACCATCTATTCTCATGCATCAGAAAGATTTTTAGTTTTAAAAACAATGCATAGATGGCAGCACACAAAAAGGTTGAAGACTCCTGTATGAGACTTTTGACTGCTTGTTTGGAAAATGGCACCCAGCAAACGCCAGTGTCCTTTGACCGACGAAGAAATCGTAGAGCTGCTGCAAAATACAGACGAGGATTCCAACTGCAATGTTGATTTCTCGAGTTCAAGGGAATGCTCCTCGGGATCCGGCACGGAAATTGAAGATGATGCAGCGGAACAATTGTTTATGGCTACACCATCAACTTCGGGGTCAGCTGCAACCTGGCAAGATGCCGACACGGTGAGATATCCATTATGGTTTGTAGGAAGTGCTGGGGTGCACATTCAACTTGATGATGACAGCCCACTCAGCATCTTCGAGTATTTGATGACAAAATTTGTCAACTGATAGCAGACAACACAAACTTGTATGCATCACAAAGAATCCCCGAGAAGAGCGGTTCTGGCAAAAATGAAGGCGAGAAGCAGAGAACAAGACTGGATATCCACAACTAAAGCTCCTTTTAAAGGCTGTCCAAACGGGACACTACAAAACGCACGACTCCGACAAATCGTGAAAATTGAAGCGGACGCTTCTATTTTTACGATTTGTCGGAGTCGTGAAAATTTTTGCAGGAGTCGTGAAAATTCTCACGATCACGGCTTCTCTCCTCGCGTCCTCCACTTTTCTCTGACGTCACATGCCACCTGCATTTGGCTCACCTCGCCAACGCCCTCGCGTACCGCCGTCGCCTCGGCTCGAAGGCCAAGAAGGTCCGGCTTCAGGTGGATTTGGGACATTCCTGCGTCGAAGGGTGCGTTTCGCCCGCCTCGGATCAGCTTTCTTTGTCGAGATTCACTTTCGTCGTGATGGCGTCCGACGCGGTTCCGTATTGTGAGCGGAGGCCTTGAGCGATTGACCGACAGCCAACAAAGCGTGTGAGTGGCGCTCCGGACCCACGTGATGAGCAGAGCAATTCCGCCGAGGAGGAAGCGAGGGGGACATTTGTCGGAGGGAAGTTTCCCCCCGGGAGCTTTGACGGAGGGAAATTTCCCCCCAACGGCCGGAAGCGGAGCGCGGCACGATTTGCCGGAGTCGTGAGTTTTGTAGTATCCTGTTTGGACAGGCCTTTAGATGTCTAGATTTTGCAGGGGATCGTTTGGAAGCCCACCATGAATTTATACTTCACACAGCAGCTTCTATTGGAGACTCCCAAGATTTTACCAGCTTTTTACTGAAAAAAGCTTCTGCCTGCTTCTAAAGTACCTGCACTTCGCAGACAATGGGGCAGCAGTGCCAGAAGATATGCTGAACTCAAGACTCTACAAAGTTGGCCCCATCCTCAAACATCTTGTGGAGAAGTTCCAGCAGGCCTGCACGCCTCAGTGGGATATCCGCATCGAAAAGAGTTTTCTGCTCGGAAAGGAGGACTCGGATGGAAGCTATACATTCCTATGAAAAGAGCGAGATTTGGAATGAAATCTTTCAGACTGTGCGAGTCAGCAAGTGGATATGTGTGGAATATCCTTGTCTACATGGGAAAGACGACAAAGTATGAATGCAAAATCCCTAGAGTTGAAGTATCAAACCCCGACAAGTCATTGCAAGTTGTGCTCGCGCTTTTGCGAAATCTCCTGTGCAAGGGTTACTTCCTGCACATAGATAACTACAATAAACTGTAGTTGTAGTTAAACTACAGTAAAATATTTCATAATAATAAACTTAAAAAAAATCCTCGGCAGTTTTTCTATGCATTTTATGCAAAAATGTTTCAGTTAAATGAATTAACAAATTTTGGAAAAGCGAATATTTCAGTAGGGTATGTTGGTGGGCTGGTTGGTTCATCTTAGTTAAACATATAAAATAGCGCAAAAAAGGCAAGGGCAAGAAGTATACAGTATATATATTTCAGTTCAATGAACAAGATCAGTAGACCTAGGATTATTTTTGCAATCAGTTCAACGAAGTTTGTGCTCTGCAGTGCTGGCGTAGCCGATACCCGCCGCCGCCGCCTCTGCCGCAGCGGCGTATCATCGTTGGCGTTTACAGCACCGCCAAAGCAAAGCAGCGGTGCGGTAGACGAAAACAAACCACGTAATGTGCCTGTTTTTTCTTTGTCATCGATTCCGTTCGGCCATCTTAGTTTTGGGTAACAACGGCAGGATGGCAGTTTGTGCGCCCACTTTCGTAATGAGTATGACAAAATGGAAGTGGTTGTCTCGCGTCTTTGTCAGGGTACAAAATGCTCAAATTATAGGAAAGAAAATTCAAACCTCTCGAAGCTTGTCGTAACGTTCTGCGGCGGAGTCAAAGACGTGGACCGAACGTTGCGTGTGAAGTCCTGCATTTGGAGACCAAAAGTTTTATAAAAAGGGCGTTCCGGATGACCGCGACTGACTGTTAGGCTGGGGAAAGTGCGATATCACGGCAAGCAAAAAATAAATGTTGGCACAACTACGCTACGTCTGATTTGTGGATATCACTACAATATACTCATATCTGAAGTATTGCTTTAAAGAGTACTATAATGCTTAGTAGTTTCAATGATGCTGATCTAAACAAATCAAAAGATAAAGCACCATTTACCATTTTCTTCTTGCTGTTCATTCTGTCCAACATACTTCTATAAATCTGGCACTGTTGCTGGTGCTACTTGTCTTAGTAGAGTCTCAACTCATTTTCGCCATAACAAAAATCGTTAAGCCAGTACCCAAGTCAACGTAGTCAAGACTCAATTCGTTGTAACAGACACTAAATTCAGTCAAGCCTGGGTTTTAGGCAGATACAAAGTTATTTGAGCCGGAACTCGAGTCATTTTGCTGTGGCCCAAATCATCAAGCCGTTACTCAAGCCGATGTAGTTATGACTCGACTTGCTGTAACTGAGTCTAACTTCAGTGAAGCCTGGGTTATAGGCCGGCCCAAAGTTATTTTAGCCGGGACCCAAATCATTTAGCTGTGACGCGAATCGTTAAACTGGTACCAGTGATGGAAGCAGCATTTGAACCTTTTGTAGCAGGTTCTGTAGCATTCAAAATATTCGTATGGAGCAGCCGCTGATGCTTTTGGAGCAGATGCAAATGAAAAAAAAAAAAAAAAAAATTGATAGCATATTTAATTGAGTTTGTCTGTGATAATGATTGCCAGCTCCCCTTTGATACTGGAGCATATTACTTATCACATTTCGTGCTATAAATAAATAGAATGCAAAAGGAACAGATAGCCTTCTTTTTTTTTTAAATAAGGCTCTGGTCAGAGTGAGGTCATTTAAAACGGGTGTTAAAAATGGTTGACAAATAAATCATAGCCCAACCCTTCAGTTGCGATAAAGCCTCCCTCCCATCCCCGTTCTACACTCGGTAGTTTAATTGGCCTGTAAATATAATTTCTGCAAAATGCCAGCAAAAACCAGCATATCCACTACACCGATAAAAATGCATCCCCCAAGTTTTATGAACCTGCCAAACTTGAAACTCTAATTTCAAAAACTACAAAAAAATCGCTGACAAATATTATTAAAGCCTACACTTGTGCTTTAAATGTGACACAGCTCTTCAGCGGAGTTGAAATTAGAGTTCAATTAAAGTTGCCTGCTCGTTCATTCGACAACTGCACAAGAACTACCGTATTTATTTAAAAATAGAGACCCATGTTCTTGTAGGTTTTTTTTTCTTGTATTTTTTTTTTCAGCAGTTTCCTCTTTTTAATTATTATCAGAGATTATTTGCAATGAAGACAACGAAGTTTGATCGGTAATAATCCTGAGAATGAATTCCGTGCTTATTGAGCTAACCCTCCAACAGGTCAGTCGCTGCCCCTAGCACTCCGGTGCAAAACTGTGAAGCCCGACGCATGCACGTTCATGTGTGGTGAGATGTAGTGAAGGTTGACAGGAGCGGCGCAAGTGCCACTGTACTCTGCAGTCACGGCACGAAGGCATGTGGCAGACATGATAATTGAGTGATTCCACCAGGAGCAGAAGATCCTGGTTCTGTCTTATCACAGTATACCACCATCCTACTGTTTTGCAAAGTTTTCTCGAGACTTTTAGTCCTGACCTCGCAGACATCGTCTGGTAATTTAGACGATGTCGACGATCAACCGGCCAGCGCATCAACCAGCCAGAGTGATTGACGAACAATCCCTATACTTTGTTTCACCTGAAGTCGACACTACAGCCAACTCTACGAGCCAATGGGACCAATCAAACAGCATAAAAGCGCGACATCATGGCGTTCATCTCTCTGTAAGTGTTTTCTCATCGGCTAAACCAATCGGGTGCAGTGAATGCCCCGTCACTCGCGCTTTTAGTATGTGTGTTCGAGGTTGTATGCATTCAAGCTTTCAATTGTGCTCAGACCTAAGATGAAAAAAATTATCTGGCGAGTAGAGACGCCGTGAAATATATTCATACTATTTTTTTTTTTCATTCTACTTTTCTAAATATTAGGGCCGACCAATATTAAATTATTTTTATATTTTGCTTTAACCCTTTAAGGGCCTTGGACGAGCTGAGATCGTCGGCCACTTTTTGGCTAAAAATGCCATGGACGAGCTCAGCTCGTCCAGTGCTTTTTTCGGTAGCCCTCAATTCCACAGACAAGCTAGGCTCGTCCGAGTAGTTTGCGCCGCTGATCATAGATGGCAGCACTCGTTTTAGTAGGCACTTTTTTTTTTTTCGCCACCGCTGATTTTTGCATAATAAAGTTTTGAAATGTTATCTGTATTACTAGAGGATTAAAGCTTCTAAATAATAAAATATGGCACTTTTAGGTTACTTTTCGAAAAAAAAAAAGGGGGCCTTAAGCTTATAGGAGCTATGCAACAATTTTTGTACTTTGCACAAATACCGCTTAAAACGGATCCCTAACGTTAATGACCTATGAAACACGTGTTCGTTTTTCACCCCACGCAATAGAAGTCCCAGAAAAAAAATTAAAGAAAAACGAGCAGCGTTCACCCCCTCAACTCGCAGCCAGAACAAGCGATTACGTGATCTGGAGCTGATTATATGCTGCCAGTGTTGATCATAGCCACGCGCTGGGGTTGGCAAAGCGCAGAACACGCGCTGAGTTCCAGACATTGTTATGGCTCGGCTGTTGTCGTCGTTGCAGCGATTGGACACGGGTCAGAACCCCAATGCTTCTCGAGCTAGCAATTGTCACGAGCCCAAGACAAGTGCCCACACAATGCTCGGGTCCAATCTATGAACCGCATTCAAATATCGTCACTTGGGTGAACTGCGATCCCCAAGTTACGTCATCAAATTTTGCAAAGGAGAGATTGAATGAAAATGATCGCTTTTGTCCTTGAAATTACACCGCAACAAAGGAGTTTCTTGGCCAATGGCGTTGCGTGTGAGTATCCTTGAGTCCCAGGTGTGCCAGTAAGCTTGTGTGAAGAGAAAATCATTCCAATTGAATATCGTTGCACAGCTCCTTTAAGAGGTTTAACCCATCCCGGCGCAGTTATGGCACAATTTGAGCGACAATGACGCTTTGGCACGAGATGTAACAGACCTTCGTTCATGGCGCAATTTGGCGCAAATGATGCAGCACTTCATCACTGTGGTACTCAAGTTGTAACTTGAACTAAATTCATTGAAGTCTGGTTTATACGCGAAATCAAATTTATTTTTTCCGGTAGTTAAGCTCAGGTCACAAAAGTTTCGATTTTACGTAGGACTAAAGTTACCTTAGCTGGCACTCAAGCCATTCTAACAGGTATTAGAGTCATTTTAGCCTTTAGCTCGGCTCGGGTCATTAAGGTCGGGGCTTAATTCTTCGAAGACGGGGCTCTAACTGGATCCTAAATAGTGTCCAGGGTGCTAAGAGTGCAGACAAAGGCACAAGCATGTGAGCCTAGTTCAGCAGCATGCTTCGTCTGTTTTGAGAACTTGCGCATAGAAGCCACTTTCCAAAGCCAGGCACTTGCGGCTGTGCCTTTATCAGCACTGAAGGTGTGTGTGAGATGGAATGTGAAGCAGCTCTAGCCGAAACTCGAGTGTTTTTAGGTGACACTGGGCTGGCTTGCTAGAAACAGTGTCTTAGCTAATGGCGAATTCCACTCGTCGTTTTGGCGTGCTCAGGGATCGCCTTTCTCAGAGCATGCGTCCGCCACTGGTCGCTTCGGATCAACCCGGATGTCTTCCACTTACTGTTTTGGAACAGCGCCGACTCCGAATCTCGGTTTAGAGCGCACAGATCTCGATCTGCTGATTTTCCCGGAGCCGAGCGCAATTCAATCCCTGGGGACACATGACATCCTGCCTCACCAAGCATGACATGAATGGCAGGTCACTGACGGCACCTCATCACATGCAGGCGCTTTCTGGAAATAACGAGAGCCCAGTGCGACAAGGAGTGCCGGGAAGACAGTCAGCCACTCCCGGGAGTTTGTCGTCTTCCGCCGGTGGAGTCAAAGGTGCAATGGCTCCGCACGGATCGCATGCTCTATAGCAAATTTGGGCTAGTGATCCAAAACGACCAGTGGGTATCATCATAACACTGTGTGAAAAGAAACCTGCCAGGTCTGGGGTGCGTGAGCACTAGAGATACAACTTCACGTACCACTTTGCCTGTAAGTGCACAAGCTTTGGCAGTGCTTTCATTCCCGCAGTCTATGGGCGCATGTGCAATTGTGCATCCTGAGCGCCCATCAAAGCTTTGCACAAGCACTCTTCACTTCTTTCAAAATGCCACAAGAGTTGTCCACGGGTATAAGGTGCTTTCATTGATGTAATTATGTCCACTCTTTTGTCGTTAGGGGTTGCCTGGCACTAGTAAAAGACAAGCGTTCAAAAGATTCCTTTGGCACCATCAAATACGTAGTGCATTAGGGCCTATACATTTCATCCTGAGACATCCAAGAACAAAATGGCCAACTTGCAGCTAATGCCACAAGCACGAGAGCTCGAGGTCCCTGTGTTTGAAGCACAGAACGAGCACCCGCGCTAGAAATGGACCCCTCAGAGCCAGGAACGCGGGCTAGCTCGCGCTTGTAGCCTTGGCTGCAGTCTCAGGTTAAGGACGAACAGAGTACAGCAAGCCGTCGCTGTAGTCGTGACAAGTAAAACATTAATATTTGAATCAAGTTCACCCCTTTGAGGACACGATGTTTGAAGGCAAGTTAACCCGCAGGCCAGCTGGTTAAGGTTACACACAATTCATGCCGGAGAGGAACGCACGACAACAAAAGTACAAAAACATAGCTGTCTCATATTTTCTTTTTTGACATACACACGTTTGAGACGTGTGTGTTTGTCCTTTTTTTGCCCGCTCGCCCCCGGTTTCCCGCTTGCCGAAGGGCCACGGCATTATCAAAACTTTCCGCCCCGTTGAACAAAATCGCAAATTTCGCTAAAAGCTTTCAAAAGCTTACCCGTGAATTCGCAGTCAATTGACAAAAAAGAAGCGTCTTTGATGACGGTCTTGAGGACTTCAAGCTGCTCGCTGAAATCTGAAATTAGCGACCGTCAACAGCCGCGCAGCCCAACGCCAGGAACAAACTTTGCAGCGTAAAGTGTAGTTAATATGGGAGGAAAGGACTGCGGTACCAAGGATGAGTTATTCGGGTGGGAAACAACTTACTTTGGATGGTGACTTCCATTGCAGGAAGAAGATCCGTTCACGAGTTTGGAGACGAGACACAAGTTCAGAGGGCCGCCATGTTTTGAAAATGATGCTCGCCCTTTCTCTCTTTATGACTTCGGTAAGTAGCAGTGGAGAATACTATAGTTGTGAAAAATACTTTCATGTGCTAAGGAGTCTTCTTTTAAAGCATAACTACCAAAATAAAACTCAAAAAAATTGAATTTTAAAATATTATTTATAAAGTAATCTTTTAAAAGTGCTTTTCCAAGCGGGCTCGTTGGTCTAGGGGTATGATTCTCGCTTAGGGTGCGAGAGGTCCCGGGTTCAAATCCCGGACGAGCCCTCGATTTTTTACCTTTTTATAAACGTTTTTTTTATTTTTTTTTTTAAATTTGAAAGTTAACGTATTAATTTTAGGCATCAGATCAGAAGGACCTTAACATATGATGTTTGCCTCGTAATACGTCTGTAATTAAATTAAACCTGTAGCAGAGTAGTTTTTTGTCACTGCTTCATTGAAGCACTGGACAACTCATGGTAATACATTTAGAACTGATTTACTATGACCGGCCGTCTGTATGTAAAAACGTAGCACTTTTAATACCCAGCTGACCCAGAAAAAGTACCCACCCACCCGCCTTTTCCGCGGAGGAGGAGGAGGAAAACTTTATTCAAAAGCTCAGGTCCGAGCCGTCTTAATCGTCCGCACTGCAGGAGGAATCTTCTTCTACAACTTGGGTTAGGGTTCTTCGTTGCGGACTTTTCCGCGGACATGTGCGAAGTAGGGGGCCTTCACGTGCGCTTTGCTAGGGTGATGCCTCCCTTTGTAATGCCGCTCGCCGACAAACCAGCAGCCATTTTGGTTCTCGGCGATAATCCGTCCATATCTCACAAGTTAACAAAATGGCGGTGGAAGAGGGTGTGGGAAAGGGAAGCAAGCAGTTGGCATCACTCAATGCGAAGCGCACATGAAGGCACCCTAGTGCGAAGTAGAGTGCCTTCATGTGCGCTTCGCGTAGCCTGGAAGGGAAGAGAGGAGGGGGGGTGCGTTAGAAACATTTTTTGAAAGTTCAGTTCATGGTTCTCCTCTTCCCCCTTTCCCCTTTCGGGTGTTTGCCGATTGCGGAGAGCATTGCGGGACGGCGAAAACTATCTACGCAAAATTTCTATTGTGTTTCTTTTTCTGTTTGACAACTTACCCAATATGGCAACGGGCCGGGCCCACTACATTCCAAAGCCCAGAGTTCTGGGTTGGACACAGATGTAAAGGGACCTCACCGCTGAGCGCGTCTCCGCGGTACAGGCAACTTGCGTTCGCCCGAAGGCTTTGTATCCTAATGTAAACCGCCTGCTCCAAATCCTGGACACCATGCCCGGGACCGTTAGCTCCGTTGAAACGGAACATTCGTTCTCGAGACTCCGAAGACTCAAGTCATAACCAGAGAGGCTCAACATCCCAGGAGCGGTTGACAGGGGTTGCTTTTGAAAATTCACCGTAAAATTCAAGTCAGCCCCGAAAGGGCCCTCTCGCATCTTCCTATCGGCCGGCGGCGGCTTCGACTAAGTGTGTCGACCCCACGAAAGGAACCCCAATGTATAGAACCCACGAAAGGAACCCCGACTAAGTGTGTAGACTAGTGATGCAAAACTATCGATAAATCGACTATCGATACTATCGATAGTGTCGCAGAACTATCGATAGTCGACCATCGATAGTTTTTCGATAGTCGACTATCGATAGTACTATCGATAGTTTTTCGATAGTCGGCTATCGATAGTACTATCGATAGTTTTCCGATAGTAGGCTATCGATAGTACTATCGATAGTTTTCCGATAGTCGACTATCGATAGTTTTTTTTACTACCGATAGTCAGATTTTTGGCGGCTATGGAGACTATCGATAGTACTATTGATAGTTTTGCACCACTACTAGAGCGAACACAGTTGCCACACCGCCACTCGCCTGACCTTCCTCCTCTTTTCACCCAAACTCCCGTCTTCGTCATCACTGAAAGCTGAACCAAAGTTGGGATGGTAAGTTCTTGGGCTAGTTGGTGTCCAATTTTTTAAAAAAAAAAAGCAAGAAAAAGAAAAAAAAGGGAGCGACGCAAACTGCTAGTGTCGGAAAACTATCGATAGTAAACTGTCGACA